TGATTGATATATTTTGATATTTTCGATATTTTTGATAATTTTCAATTTTATAATTTCAATTTTCAACTTTATAATTTTTTAATTTCAATTTTATAACTTTTTAATTTTTAACTTTATAATTATTAAATTTCAATTTTATAATAAAATTTCTTTAATATTTTTGATAATTTTAATGTTTTTTTTCGTAAAACATTTTAATTATTTTCATTTACTTAATGATATGGGCTTCTAGGGATCAACATCAAGCGTGAAACAAAGGTGGAACTACTCAATTAACTTTAAATGTTTCCGCCTCCAATAAAGTTTTTTCATATTTCACGCCCTAGAACTTTAATTTTTAAATAACATGGTGTGTACCATAAACACAATAAAATGGGTAACAAACAAATTAACCACATGAACTTATTCAAAATTAACTTGTTAATTTTATAAGAAAATTATTTTAAACAATATTTGTTCGAAAAAAGAACATCCGTTCCATCTATATTATCTTGTTTATGAATGAAATACGCCTAATTTATTATTATCTTTGAAACAAAAACTTTAATAATATTAGAAAGAATGAAAGAAAGAATGAAAATAGAAAGAATGAAATAAAAAATATAAAGAAAAGTAAAAGATAATTATTATAATCATTTAATTTAATTATACTTATCAAACATCAATAACCTTTTTTTTTTTTAATAAAAATTAATATAAACAAAGAGTAAATAAGTGAAAAAGAAAGATCGTATGGATATTCTATAAGAAATTTTTTTTGTGAAATTAATTAGTGGAACGATCGTACAACAATAAAGTCATTGTTTCATCCTTTAACTGCATTATTGTCAATCAGCTCGTGTAACCTTTTTATTGTAATAAAACAAAGACTTTTTTTTTTTTTTTTTTTTTTTTCTTATTATTAAAGAATTTTCTTGATAAAGAAAATGAATACTTGGAATATTTGGAATACTATTTGGAACATTTGGTCTTTCTTTATAATTAGAACGTGCGCATTATTAGGTTATCATTTTAAATGTGATAAAATTAATAATACGTGATTTGAATCAAACTTAAAATAATTTTATTACGAGGTAAATCTAAATATTTAATTACAAAGAAAACTTTATTAAAAATTTTAATCTTAATAAATTTGGTTAATCAAGCAAGAAACATGTATGTATGTTATGTATGCTATGTATGATATTATGATTATGTATGCTATTTATGAATGAATAAATGAATAAATGAATGATATCATGCAAAGTGTAAAAAAAAAGATGCTTAAAAAAACGCGCTTTTTTTTTACTTGGAATGTATTACAATTTTTTTTGAATGAACGATTGGTCTTTTTTTCTATAAATAAATAATTATATAATTAAAATAAATAAATAAATAATGGAATTTTTGAACCATTGAAAATCATTGAATCCACTACAAAGAAAATCGCGTAGTTTTTTTTCTATGGTTCGAAATTTAGAAGTTGATTTAATGTATTAAAGTGTAAAAGGGTTTAATTTATGAGTAAACAAAGAGAAAATGAACAATAGAAAGTAAAAGAATGAATGAGAGAATGCATTAACATATTACGTTGGAATTTTTTTTATCACAATTTTCAATTAATAAATATCACAAGTGAATTTATAAAAAATCATAAACGTTTTAGTTTTAAATCAAATTAAGAAACAATATTAAAGAACAAACGAAATTGGTAGTATTTTTTTTGGGGAAGGAGAAGAAACATAAACGTAAACCAACATAAACCAACATAAACCGACATAAACCGGTACGAAACAATCGATTATGCACATAAAAATATTTTTTACCCATGCAATAATTGTGGCGGTTCGTGAAAATTAAGAGAGTCTGTAACATTTTGTAACATTTGATAACACATTGACCACTTACAACATGGATTCCATGCGATAAACAATATTATGCAACCATGTACATTTAGCATTTGAATGTTTAACACATTGACATTGTTCTTAACTAGACAATATAGATTATGTGAAGATCCACAATTTTTTATTCCCATTACGTTTGGCTGAAACCTTTTTTTTTAATTGATAAATATGGTTCAAAGAATAAAATTTTTTATTTTTGGAAAATCTTAATGACATGAATTGATGTGATAACTTAAAGTTTTGATTTTTTGACATATTATATTTATTTATTATGTAAAATGGAAATTACTTTTGGAAACCATTGTCCTCGATTTCGTAAAGATTTTCTCCCACATGTGAAATTTTTTTGAAAGGAAAAACCCACGCGATTATTCTTATTTGACAATGGGCGGTAAAAAATAATAATATTTTTATCTTTAAAAGAAAAGTTTTAAAGAAATACAATGTGGCTAAATGATAATATCAGATACTGTGTTAAGTAATATTAGGAATACAACAAATTTGATGTTAACCAATTTAATCGAATTAAATTTCTCTTCTTTGCCAAATACTTTAATGTCTTGACTTTATTGGTATAATAACATCCGTTCTGTGAACATTGTATACCGTTACTTTAATTAAAAGAAGATATAGATTTTTTAGATTGCAGATTTAACAGATTAATTATTTTTGTTATTTTTAGAACATTCAGTATGTCTAACCTTATATTATATAGTCTTAACAATACATGCAAAAATGAGTCATTCATGCAGATTATCCGATTGGTTCATCTTTTTTTATCATTATCTCTCACGTTAATGGATTTAGGCTTTTTAATATTTACTTGTTGATGTAATATTGTAATATCTAAAATATCTGATATGGCAAGACAGTCCAACGTTCCATTTTAAGAATGTAATTATATTTGAGACGTAAAAATGGTCGCGCTTCCGAAAAGATTATTTTTAGAGTAAGGATTTAGTTAAAGTAAGAGATTTTTTTTAATTATAGATTTATTTATTTATGAAAGTTTTTAGAGATTGTAAATTGACAAAAGTTTTAATTGATGTGATTTTGTTGCTATTATATAGGCTTTGATATACTACATACTGAAAGGGTGGGAATGAGTCTAATTTTGATGATACTTTTTGTGAGATTCACTTGGTAAAGATTATACAAGTTTTTATAGATCTTATATTATGGATTTTTAAGTCTAGGTAAATGTGATATTTTGCCATATTCTAGAAGAAATTTTGCTTTACGTTATTGCTTTACGTTATTGCTTTATGTTATTGCTTTGCGTGATTGCTTGCGTGATTGCTTTACGTGATTGCTTTACGCTTTACATTATTGCTTTGCGTGATTGCTTTACGTGATTGCTTTACGTGATTGCTTTGCGTGATTTTGCTTTACGCGATTGATTTACGCGACTGCTTTATGCAATTGCTATACGTAATTGCTTTTAATGGATTTTTTTTTATTTATTTTTAGTTATATTATGATTTAATTATTTACTCATTATAATATTCCTTGTTTTAAAATTCAATTAGGAAAATTAGGAAATGATTTAATGATTTAGTGGGTTACCTAACCTAGAAGATTAATCTAACACAATCACCAGTTCTTGTAGTATAATTAATTTTATCCCTGATCTTAAAATTGATTTTATACTCAATTCCCCTTTTAACGAGATTTTGTGGTAAGGTGATTATATATCAGTTGAGATGACGTTATCTGTTACGTATAAACACAGTTTTCTTCCGCGACTTTGTATTAATTCTTAATAAAATTGTTGTTAAATTATTTACTTGAATTTGTAAATTTGTGATGAATTGGTAATTATTTACTTGAATTTGTAAATTTGTGATGAATTGGTAAAGAATTGTCATTTTTTAATCTGATGTAGAGCTTCCATTTGAAATTAAGATATTCAAAATTAAGATATTCGAAATTAGAATATTCGAATATAATATTTGGAGATTCAAATCTCTCATGGTACTTATGAGATTCGAATGTCCATGATGTAAATTTGCTATTCGTCTTTAACACATGCAACGCTTTTTGTTAATTTATCGTTTTAAAAATCACAATACAACTGATTTTTGTTGAATTTCGTTTTTACAACTTATTTTTGTTGATTTTCGTTCTAAAAATCACAATACAACCGCTTTTTGTTGATTTTCGGTTTAAAAATCACAATACAACCGCTTTTTGTTGATTTTCGTTTTAAAAATCACAATACAACCGCTTTTCGTTAATTTATCGTTCTAAAAATCACAATTCAACCGCTTTTTGTTGATTATTCGGTTTAAAAATTACGTAATATTTAAATGCCATAAATTCGATTGTCCGTGAGATTTGAATATCCATTGAGATTCGAATTATATTCGATTTTACATATCAAATATTTTCAGATTCGTATCTCAATTTGACTTTCAAACGGAAGCTCTAGTCTGATGGTGCATAATCCTACCTTTTCAACCCTTTCAATAAAATTTTCAAATCGGACCTCTATCCCACGTATAAAAAAAAATACTAGATTTTGATACACTCGATTATGGTTTCGAATTGTAAAAAAAAATATAAACTATATAAATAATGATCCCTTAACAGCTTTAATTAATAGCATTAGCGGATTAGCCGTGTTCATGTATATTGTAACTTCACAAGCCTCTGTTTATATTTTAAATGTTAATTAGTATTATGGAAAAGGCAGCATAGTGGTAAAGAAAGTATAAAAGTACATTTTTTGAATGTAAATTTTTTAAAGATATTTATTATTAGCTTAATTAATGTTTTATTTAGAGACGATACATCAATTACATCATGATTCGGGTTTGACTTGTAATTCTTTCGATCTGATCTTGTTCCCAAGTTATATGCTGCTAGTATTAAAACTACTCCGAGATACTCCCAGATACTGACATACTTTACCTCTAGAATTATGATTGTAAAATATATATTATTTAATAAAAAGAACCGAATATTTCTTATATTTTACGATTTTGCCAAATTTTACGTTTTGTTTTAACAATTTATTTAATAGAAAAAGAGTAATTAACCAGTAATTAACCAAAGTACGAATAAATAAGTGTTATGCTTTTATGTTCTAGCAGTTAGTGAAAAGGTGATCTTGTATCACTCAATAATTACCGATAATCGTCATTATTTATTATAAATTTAATTTTTATCTCTTTACGAATTTACGAATCAAAGCAAATTATTCAAAAATGTCTGTATTGCCTACTGGTAATAATCATAGTCGCATTATAGTACTTAAAGATTTTATTAAAGAATTAGACCTTACAGAAGAAGAACGAGAAGCATTTCGTAAAGCGAGATCACAAGTACAAACTCATTGTGTGTTTTTTATATTTTACATTTATTTATTTTAATTATATTTCAAGTATTCTAATTTTTTTTTCTTTATTCTAGCAAGACTTGGAGCACTTGCGGGAGCACTTGCTGGCGGTTATTTTTGTATGTACTTTATATTACTATATATTGTAAATTCAAAATTCAACAACTTCAATATCACTTACATTAAATAAAACATTCAATTTACCATTCAATTTACCATTCAATTTACAGCTAAAATAAAAAAATTTACGCTTGGTATAAGTTTAGCGATATGTATGGGAACAATAACTTTGGGAAGTCAAATAGGATTTTTTACAGGAACTGCTGCTGGATTACGTACTATTAAATCTTTACCGAATTCTCAAAGAATTTTTGAAGCTATTAAAGATGCTCAGTAAAGTGTTTTTTATCATTTAATATTGAATTAATTTAAAATTATTATTATAATATTTATATTATAATTTTATATTATAAATATTTTAAAAATATCAAGTTTTCGAAAAATTGCTCAAAATAAAAAACAAAGTCAAAATCAAAATCAAGAACAAGGTGAAGACGTTGATTCATCAGCTTTATCAGATGAGTTTACGCCTGATGGTCGAAATCTTGGTGATACCGCGGATGGTAATATTTTTAATTTATTAGTCTATTAGTATTTGGTAAAAATAATATATCAAGTAAATTTTTAATATATTTCTCACTATTTAGAACAATCTTCATGGGCAAAATATAGACCAACGCCAACTCCTTCGCGACAACAGCAATCATCTTCTCCACAACATGATGATAATAATAGTTCATGGGATAAAATCAGAGCAAACAATCCTTCATCTACATGGGATAAAATTCGTCAAAATAATACATCTGAACAACAACAGCAAAATCCTACATTTAATAATGAAAGTTCTAATGAAAGTATACCGAGAACAAGGGAAGATTTTGAAGAATTACGTAATGAAGGCAAAATTAGAACAAATCAATATGGAGATATTGNTTTGCTATTCGTCTTTAACACATGCAACGCTTTTTGTTAATTTATCGTTTTAAAAATCACAATACAACTGATTTTTGTTGAATTTCGTTTTTACAACTTATTTTTGTTGATTTTCGTTCTAAAAATCACAATACAACCGCTTTTTGTTGATTTTCGGTTTAAAAATCACAATACAACCGCTTTTTGTTGATTTTCGTTTTAAAAATCACAATACAACCGCTTTTCGTTAATTTATCGTTCTAAAAATCACAATTCAACCGCTTTTTGTTGATTATTCGGTTTAAAAATTACGTAATATTTAAATGCCATAAATTCGATTGTCCGTGAGATTTGAATATCCATTGAGATTCGAATTATATTCGATTTTACATATCAAATATTTTCAGATTCGTATCTCAATTTGACTTTCAAACGGAAGCTCTAGTCTGATGGTGCATAATCCTACCTTTTCAACCCTTTCAATAAAATTTTCAAATCGGACCTCTATCCCACGTATAAAAAAAAATACTAGATTTTGATACACTCGATTATGGTTTCGAATTGTAAAAAAAAATATAAACTATATAAATAATGATCCCTTAACAGCTTTAATTAATAGCATTAGCGGATTAGCCGTGTTCATGTATATTGTAACTTCACAAGCCTCTGTTTATATTTTAAATGTTAATTAGTATTATGGAAAAGGCAGCATAGTGGTAAAGAAAGTATAAAAGTACATTTTTTGAATGTAAATTTTTTAAAGATATTTATTATTAGCTTAATTAATGTTTTATTTAGAGACGATACATCAATTACATCATGATTCGGGTTTGACTTGTAATTCTTTCGATCTGATCTTGTTCCCAAGTTATATGCTGCTAGTATTAAAACTACTCCGAGATACTCCCAGATACTGACATACTTTACCTCTAGAATTATGATTGTAAAATATATATTATTTAATAAAAAGAACCGAATATTTCTTATATTTTACGATTTTGCCAAATTTTACGTTTTGTTTTAACAATTTATTTAATAGAAAAAGAGTAATTAACCAGTAATTAACCAAAGTACGAATAAATAAGTGTTATGCTTTTATGTTCTAGCAGTTAGTGAAAAGGTGATCTTGTATCACTCAATAATTACCGATAATCGTCATTATTTATTATAAATTTAATTTTTATCTCTTTACGAATTTACGAATCAAAGCAAATTATTCAAAAATGTCTGTATTGCCTACTGGTAATAATCATAGTCGCATTATAGTACTTAAAGATTTTATTAAAGAATTAGACCTTACAGAAGAAGAACGAGAAGCATTTCGTAAAGCGAGATCACAAGTACAAACTCATTGTGTGTTTTTTATATTTTACATTTATTTATTTTAATTATATTTCAAGTATTCTAATTTTTTTTTCTTTATTCTAGCAAGACTTGGAGCACTTGCGGGAGCACTTGCTGGCGGTTATTTTTGTATGTACTTTATATTACTATATATTGTAAATTCAAAATTCAACAACTTCAATATCACTTACATTAAATAAAACATTCAATTTACCATTCAATTTACCATTCAATTTACAGCTAAAATAAAAAAATTTACGCTTGGTATAAGTTTAGCGATATGTATGGGAACAATAACTTTGGGAAGTCAAATAGGATTTTTTACAGGAACTGCTGCTGGATTACGTACTATTAAATCTTTACCGAATTCTCAAAGAATTTTTGAAGCTATTAAAGATGCTCAGTAAAGTGTTTTTTATCATTTAATATTGAATTAATTTAAAATTATTATTATAATATTTATATTATAATTTTATATTATAAATATTTTAAAAATATCAAGTTTTCGAAAAATTGCTCAAAATAAAAAACAAAGTCAAAATCAAAATCAAGAACAAGGTGAAGACGTTGATTCATCAGCTTTATCAGATGAGTTTACGCCTGATGGTCGAAATCTTGGTGATACCGCGGATGGTAATATTTTTAATTTATTAGTCTATTAGTATTTGGTAAAAATAATATATCAAGTAAATTTTTAATATATTTCTCACTATTTAGAACAATCTTCATGGGCAAAATATAGACCAACGCCAACTCCTTCGCGACAACAGCAATCATCTTCTCCACAACATGATGATAATAATAGTTCATGGGATAAAATCAGAGCAAACAATCCTTCATCTACATGGGATAAAATTCGTCAAAATAATACATCTGAACAACAACAGCAAAATCCTACATTTAATAATGAAAGTTCTAATGAAAGTATACCGAGAACAAGGGAAGATTTTGAAGAATTACGTAATGAAGGCAAAATTAGAACAAATCAATATGGAGATATTGAAATAATAAATTAGTAATTTATAATATTGTTAATAATTTTACATTAACTTTCAAGAATTTTGATTGCTTAAAATAATTTAATATATATGTATATATATTTTTTCATTTTATAATAAATAGAAAACCAAATTTTTATTAATTATTCCCTTGGACAATCAATTTCTTCAACAATGTTCCAAAATTCTCTAACTAATCTTAATTGACTTTGTTCAACAGTCTCATCTCCAGCACATGAAGAACCACCTCTTACAGCTAAATATTTTCTTCCTAATATATTAAAAGGTTCTTCATTTGGACCATTACCATTAACCATAATACCACCTGATTCTCTTAATATAACGAGAGCAGCTGTCACATCCCTAAAAAAATGATTTAATTTAAAAATCAGATGATTGAACAATAATCAATAATAATAATCATAATAATAATCATAATATATGATAAATCATGTAAACATACCATTCCCAACAACCAATTTCCCAAAAAATATCAGCTTCACCTTTTGCAACCTGTATAATGTCTAAAGCAGCACTACCAAGACTTCTAATACCACGAACTAATCCAGCATTTTTTTTACCCCAAGTAACATCACCAGGTTTTGACATCAAACTATGAACTGATCTAAATTTTTTCCCTAAAGTCGTTGAAGATCTATTGCTACCATATTCTGATACTACTAAACATTGTGACAAACTTGAAGGTAAAGTAATTGGTGGATTTGGACTTGATAAAGGAAGTTTTGTATTCAAATTAAGATATGCACCATTTCCTTTACGTGCTGTATACAACTATTTAATAAATACGAGTTTATTTTTTATTTTACAAGAAAATTTGAAGAAAAAAAGTAACGGTTTAAATACTTGATTAAGAAATGGATTAAAGACTGCACCAACTACAGGTTCTTTGTTGATAGTTAATCCAATGCACACTGCAACAAAGGGAAACCTGTAGATATATAAAGAAGTTTTTAATTGATCTGCTTTTTCACAAAAGAGATAATTTGGCTTTATGATCTTACCAATGAATGAAATTCGTAGTTCCGTCTGAATAATTATTATATTGGATTAAATATATACCATTGAAAAAAATAATTTTTTAACTTATTTATTAATTATATTAACCTATCGGATCAACAATCCAAGTTGGTTCATCAGTTAGACCATGATGTTTACCAGCTGCTGCAGCCGTTTCTTCTCCGACAAACCTAAATTAAAAAGAATTTCCCTTTAATATCTTTTTTTCTCTATTAAATTTTTTAAATTTTATAAATTAAAATGATTATTACTTATGGTCGGGAAATTTTGAATTAAGTTTGGATTTTATCAATTCTTCCACAATTTTATCAGTTTCAGTTACTAAATCAGAAGGATTCTCCCCCTTTTCATAAATTTTATTAATTTTTGAATAACGTTCTTTCGACGCTTCCAAAATTATTTGACCACATTCTTGTACAAGCGAAATTGCAAACTCAAGAAACCTGTCTCTTATACACATCTAGATGTGTATAAGAGACAGATATTAAATAATAATTATGGTAAATGCAATTTATACAACAATTTACCTTCCCCCATTTTTTTTTACAAGGAGGAAGTTTAATCGTGTAACAAAAGTTATAGAATCTTCGATCATATTCTACGCGAAAATCAAAGGGGTATAAGCTGTCTCTTATACACATCTAGATGTGTATAAGAGACAGCAATTTACCTTCCCCCATTTTTTTTTACAAGGAGGAAGTTTAATCGTGTAACAAAAGTCATTTTAAATTTTAAAGATTTACAGATAATATGAAATATAACCCTTGCACTTATGTCATACAATCTATAATAAGTTAGAAACAAACATTAAGTGATGTAATTTTCCGAAAATACCATAATATGACGTTTATTAAGGATAAATAAATTGTAAAATTTTATTATATATATACACTGTATTATTATTAAATCCATTTTTTTCTCATTGATTTACCTTTTATAAAAAAAAATTTAATAAAAACGATTATTTTAGTAGTTTTCTTTAATCATGTCTCAACCTTATGGACAACATGGACAACCACCAAATTATGCCGGTGGACAAGTTCCATATTATCCACCACCTCCAGATCCATATAATCAAAAAAATAATCATCAATATCAACAATATCCTCAGCATCCTCAATATCCTCCACCTTCAGCTCCTCCTCCTTCATTTATGCAATCCCAGTCTATGGGTAATAATGGAGAAAATAATGATAATGCTGGAACAAATAATAAATTCAACCCAACACCAAAATATCGTGATTTATGTATGTAATCGTGAAGAATTTATTGTTATTATTAATTTATTTTTACTTATTTTTTTTTTTATGTAGGGGCCGCTATACTTTTCTTATTACATCTCGGCGCTTTCATTGCTTTGTCAGTATTAGCATTAAGAAATTACGCAGCAATTCAACGTAGTGGATCATCCGATTCTGTTCAAAAAATTACATTGAACTGGAGTACGATTTGGCTATTATTAATTTGCGTGGGAGTAGGTTTCGTTCTAAGCATGATTTACTTGGCATTTGCAGAAAGGTATTTTATTTTTTTTACAATACAATTTTTTCTATTAATTAATAAAAAAAAAATCAATTTTATAGATTTCCACGACGATTTATCATAGGAACATTTATTATTTCAATATTGTTTTATTGGGCAATGGCCGTTTTTTACTTTATTGCAAAATATTTCAGTATGGCAATTCTTATAGCTATTGTGGCTATATTCTACACTCTATTTTTCTTCTGGTATGTAGTTCCCCAATCAAAAACCAGTGAATTTTAGATGGCGCAGTATGTGTAACAATCTTCTTTACGATTTAGGTGGAGACCATTGATACCTTTTTCATCTATTATGTTGGAGACCGTGATAGATATAACAAAGAAATTCAAAAGCTTACTTCTTGTCGCTTTTAGTGGTTTATTTTTAGAGACTTTATATTCAATATGGTGGATTTTCACATTCATTGGTATGAAACATAAACATCTTTTAAAATTTTAATCATATAATGTTTGCAATTTCACATGAATGAATCGCTTTTTTTTTAGAAACTTACAAGTTTTCAACTTATTTAATAGTAAATGGTATTTTATTTTATTTACACGTATTTTTTTCCAATAGCTGCATATCAAGTTTGGTATCCGGAAGCTTGTAGAGCAAGATCAGATAATAATTTACCAGCAACAGGGGCATGTGAATCTGGAAAAATAGTTGCTATTGTTGTATTTTTATTATTCTCATTTTATTGGACTTCGCAAGTGATTCAAACTTGGGTACACGTTACAACCTCAGGGGTTTTTGCAACATATTATTTTTTCGAGGGAACAGCTCAAGGAGTACCTTCTATGCCCACATTAAGAAGTGCAAAACGTGCTTCAACTACAAGTTTTGGTAGTATATGTTTTGGAAGTCTAATTGTGGCATTATTACAAGTTATTCGTGCATTGCTGAGAAGTGCTGCGCAGGAAACTGACAACCCGTTTGGGGCTTTTTGTTTTGCGTGTGCCTCAGTAATAGTAGATATGGTTGAATCATTATTGGTATGATAAGATAATAATTTATTTACACTTTTAATACTTTTAATTTATTAATTTGTCATACTAATTTTATTATTGCTTAGCAATATTTCAACTTTTACGCTTATACAGAAGTTGCGATTTACGGAAAATCATTCCGAGAATCCGTAAGAAATTATTAATATTAATTAATATTCAATATTAAAAATTTTTTTTTTTTTTTTTAATATATGTACTAATTTTTTTATATTTAAAATCAATATAATATAGGCAAAGGTAAAACTTTTTTCAAACTTTGATTTAAATAACTTCAGCCTATATCCAATTAAATTTTTCTTTTTTAGGATACTTGGACGTTGATCAAAGATCGTGGTGTTGAAGCAATTATAAATGATAATTTAATTGGCACTGTCATAGCTATGGGTAGAATAATATATATATATATATATATATAAATTTTTTTAAATTAAAATTTGATATTTATATATTATATTTTTTCACACTTTTTTTAGGCGCACTTCTTGTGGGAATTGTAACAGCATTATTAAGTTATTTATATGTAATTATTCTTAAAAATGTTGGAGGTGGATACATTCCATTAGTAGTTTTCTTGGGATTTATTATTGGATTTCAAATGATGACCATAATGGGATCTATTATATTAAGTGGAAGTGCCACTACTTTCGTATGTTTAGCCGAGGATCCGAGAGCTTTGGAAAGAACTAAACCCGATTTATACCGTGCGGTAAGATTGCCCGCATTTTATTGGTGTAGTAACCGAAATTTGTTTCTAAACTTCGATTATTTTTTAGATTCGTAATACTTATCCTAATTTTGCTACTGGAATGTAAATCGGTAAAGAATTTTGATTTGATCAGATAGAATTTAGATAATAAGAAATACGTTTTTTTTTTATTCTAAATAAATTGTAATTAAAAAATCAGGATCAACATACGGTGTTATGTAAATCCCGTCGGAGGCATATTAATTAAGTAAAGGTTTTTATGCAATAAATAATCAGTGAAAATATATTAGGCAATAGACTGTATTTAAATAATTTACAAAATTTTTTTATTTGTGTTAGATTTCGATTATTAATTGATTACGTAAAATCAAAAAATTTTTTTATGACATAGAGAAGAATATACGTTTCATGAGTAGCATAAAGAAATTTATTTATAAATATCCTAATTAATTAAAATAATTTTTCATCATTTTCTCTGAAAAAAAAAAAAAAAAACCAGATTTGGTTTCTTTATCTTAATGATATATAAATATATACATTCCTTCTCTATTTAAATCACCTTAAATTTTTTTACCTTCTAACAAATTCACATCAGTTATATTTTGTCATAATGCTTGTATATTGGAGGTTCACAATAGCATTCTTTTCTATAGCAATAACGTTTATTGCATTTTATTACCTTGTAAAAATAAGCATATATGATATTAAATTTGCTGATAACTTACCTTCAAAAGGAATCAAAGATATTCCTCCGTCAGATGTTATATTACCAAATATTTTCGCACAAATTCCTTTGTCTCCCCCAACTGAAAAAACCGCACAAAACACACGACCCGCTCTTAGTAACACGGGTAATTCGACGACCTTAAATTTTGATATTAGTGCTCAACAATGTTTTGATTATGCTAAAAATTGTCGTGATATTCAATGCGCTTTTAAAGATTTTAATTTTACTTGTAATAATAATAAGGGTCCCGTATGTAAGTATAAAATAAACAAATTTTTTTATTTTATTTTTTTTTCCAAAATAAAAAAAAATCTAAATTTTTTCATGTTTTTATCAGGTACGTGTGGTGCAAGTCAAATAAGCAGCGCTTCTTCAATACTGTCAAACGCCTTTTTCCCAATTTTCATCTCTTTAGTAATTTCGGTCTATTACTATATATAGGTTAGTGGGATTTAAAATAGACGTATCTGTAACCATAGAACAACAAACATTGATTTTTTTTTTAGAAAAATATTATTTTGTGAATAATTACAAACTTTCTTCATAATCAATTTCAATTTCACAAACTTCTTCAAATTCTTTAATTATTTCGATATTAATTAAAGGTTGATTTAACCAGCTAGATAACATAACCATGATTTTATCCCTTTCATTAATTATTTCTATTGATGAAATTATACTTTTCTTTAAATTCAATTCTTGAGTATACATATTCAGTATATTTCCAGATTTATTAACTAAAATATGTACATATAGATATTTTTTTTCGTCAAGGGTTAAAAATATGGGGTGTTTTAAAAATTTAGAAAATAAATAAAAAAAAAAAAAAAAGAAAAAAAAAAATTTTTTTGTTACCGAATGTTTCCAATGGGCATGTTAGATATAATGGCGTATCATATGTAAATTCTTCTCCTAAACTTTCACAACTTTCTTCAAGTAATGATTCCATTTGTAATATTTGAATTTTCATTTTCGTGTACTGAATACCCTAAGATTTTATTATTATTATTATTATTATTAGTTAAAGGATACTAATAACGACGCATATAGGGACCATAATATTACCATTTTTTCAAATATTTGTCTTAAAGATTGTGATAAATTTTTATAATTTTCATTTAAATTTTTGGTTTCATAATTTTCTTCTAAATCAGGTAGATTATCTAAATCATTCTTCCAATATATTGAATAATCAACTTTTCTAAAATCAGAAAAAAAAAAAATTTAATATTGTTAGATATTTATTGAACTTTTTAAAATACGGTCAAATTGGTCAAATTTAATTTTAATACCGTTCTTGTAATTTTATATTCATGAGAGAATTCGCTATCTCAAGACCATCGTCATTAAGTTCTGACCAAATTTGTCTAGCCCTTTTAAATTCACTTAATAATGTTTTTAATCTTCGCTTAATTGTTGAAGGTTGTAACATTTTTTAACTGAATGATATAATAATTTGGCTGTAATATATGGAAAAATAGATAAGTTACACAGAGTATAAACGTTTAAAAATCTTTTTAAAAAAAAGATTCACACAAGATTAACAAGAATATGAAAATCATGTCGCGTATTACATGTCAGATATTTAAACGCGTAAAAAACACGTATCCACTTTTTACGTTCGTTACTTGAATAAAAGAAATCAAATTTACCTTTTTCTTGTAGATTCCTAGTAAAAAAAAAAAATGTCTAAAGTTTCACAATTTGATAATTCTACGCTTGAACTTTATTATTCAAACCTTAATTATCTATTCAACTTTCTTCAGCCTCATCTCGACGTTAACGTCGAGATACTCAAGGATGAAGATGAGGAAGAATATAAAAAACTTCTCACAACCTCAGTTATAAATGCTGATACAACTAAAAAATTTCCTCAAATTATGAAGGAACACCAAGGAACAATTCCCAAAAAAGACACTTGTCTCGATATTGTAAGTATCGTCTCGATTTATGAGTATTACCTGTTTATTTTATTCTTATTTAAAGCAACAGAACAATTAATATAAATTGATTTTATTAATTTGTAGACTATAAACCAGGCAATTGCTATATTGGTTAATCGAATTGATAAAAAATCGGCTACTAATGTAATGCGTTTTGGGTTCACTAAGCCGAGAGCATTAAATTCTCAAGGTTTTAGTTTAACTGGTATCAATTCTACAGTTGATTATATGAGAAAATCTAGGGCCTGGTTAAAATTTTATACTAGGTATATAAAAATTTTATAAATAAAATATCAAAATTGATGTATTAATTATATTTTATCTATAGGATCGGTCAAGAAGCCATGGTCTTTCTATTAACAAATTTTTCTATATTTCTTGAACTTCAAAATGGATGTTACGTTCAATTAACGGGTCCAGCTATAAACAAGCTTCCAATACCACGAATCAAGCGTTTCGAGAACATAAAGAAAATCTCTGAGGTAAATAACAAATTTACATAATAATCATAATAATTTAACTTGTAATTAACCAATTTAAATTTTATTCATATTCAGACTGCTCATGTTCTTAACAAACAAACTGAAACTGAAAGCGCATGTATTCCATCCAATACTAGCTCGCAAAATTCTACATCAAGCACCTGTTTTTCTTCTCAGAATGAAGAGGTTGCACCAACAACATTTACCCAGGATGTTTGTACTTCATATCAAAGTTCTGACGGATCCTATAATCTCTGCCAAAATAGTCTGCCAGACGATAATGTTGCTTCCCAGAAATCAATGTTATCACAGGACATCAATTCCGTATCTAAACGTAAAAGCGATGTTCTCGCCTTCTTCAGAAAACTGCGTGATGAAGAAGATAAAACTTATTCGAAAAGTTATGCTTCAAGTTCTTTGGACTCACAAAGCAGTAGTGATCATAGCACTCTTTTTTCATCTCAGAATACCAGCGAGTTAAGTTCACAAACCACTACTTCGAGCCTTGATGACCTTAAGCTAAATGATAAGCCATGGGTAGAAGTTATAAATCCTAATAAAGATACTAATGAAGATATGATATCAAGCCATATTGAACAGAAAATTGGAGACGAGAACATGGCATCAAACTTTACCAAACAAGAGACTGGAGACACAGCATCAAATTACACCAAATTTAAGGAACAGACTAAGGGGACTTTTCTCAAAATTATGGAAGCTATGCATCCTGTTAAAGTAACCGAGGAAACATCAAACTATGATGAATGTATTATATCAGATAAAAATAAAAATCCCGAGAATCAGAAAAAGCGTCGATTTGAGGATGTTCAAGAAACTTCTTCTAATGCTATCATTTTAAATAATCGCAAAAAGTGCGTGGAGAAGGCGTCAAATAATGCTTATATCAGTAATGAATGTTCAGTAGTATCAAACGAAAATAATGAGATTCAAAAGAAACGTCCAATTGAGGACGTAGAAAACCCTGTTTCAAAAGCCATTGTTTTGAATAATCGTGATGTGGTAAAAGTCTCCAACCCAAATTCTTTGTCAAATTTGTGTTTCTCTCGGTCTGTCATGTTTTTAAGTTCTCCAATCTTTAATAAATATGGTACTCTTTGGTATGGTCTTCCAAAAGAACGTAAGTATTACTGTATATTTACTTGTTACAATTTTGTTATTTATTTTATTCCGATTATTTGTTAGACATCCTTAACGTGGCTAAGTTTTCTAAGAATAATATGTCGAATATTGTGATATATCATATCTTTCCAAGACAGTTTGGTCTTAAGAACGTCTTCACTAAGAAATCTTCCGATACATCATTATATATCGTTTATCTGGATAGGAAAAAGGAACTCAGTGTAAATTGCAATTAGAATTTATAATAATTATTACGATTATTATCTAAAAAGATTTTACATTTAATTATATAATGAATTTATATTTAACCAGAATTTACGGTGTGAAATTCCAAACCGTTTACAACATCTCATTCCATACGTCAAACATATAATTGAGCGACATAATAGATGCCAGTACAAGAATTTGCTCAATAAATACTGTCCAATTCAAGTAATTGTTTCTTTTTAACTTCCAATTTATATAAATTATGTATAAAAAGATCTAAATTGTTAATTATGTTCATGTTTAATTATATTATTAGGATATAGATAAAACAGATACAAATGTAACTAGTTTGAGTTACTGCAATAATTATCAGGTAAATTCATTACTTGTATATCATATATATATATATATGTTAAATTATTTTCACATTATTTTTTTTTTAAAAAAAATTTATTTAACATACAATAGGTTGTAAAGTTTGTTATAGGAGTTTTGGATTTTATCATTCCGCCTGAATTTTGGGGTAGTAAAAATAATAAGACTCTAATTTATAAAATGGTTGGAATATTTATTGAGCGTCGCCGTTTTGAAGTCCTATCATTGCATGAAGTTCTTTATGGTTTTAAGGTTATTTTTTTTACATAATTTTTAATTTATTTATGTTGATATATGAAATTGATATACTTCTGACAACGTTTAGGTAAATGAATGTAAATGGCTTGTACCGCCTGGAGATAAAAAATCTTGTAACAGCTTGGAAAGAATGAAACGTGTTGAGGTGTTGCATGAATTTATCTGGTGGGTTTTCGAATGTTTTGTAATCCCACTTCTTAAGGTAAATGATTACACATATATTGCTCTAACAAAATTAACTGAGAAGTTAATCATATCCTTATTTCATATTATATGTTTTTTATAGTTAAACTTTCATATAACACACAATGCTAAATATAAATGTCGGTTATTTTACTATCGACAAGAAGTTTGGTTAAAAATGTTTAAACAAGGTTTTGAACCTTTGAAAAGTTCTACATTTGAAGAAATCCCAACGGAGAAAGTGACCGAAGTATTAAATGGCAAGACACTTGGGTATTCCAAAGTAAAATTTATCCCTAAAGATGATGAAGGAAATCTTAGACCTATTGTTAATATGAAGTGTCCAATGCACAAAACCGTAAGACTATTTTTTATGTTTTTTAAAAAAAATATAAATAATATATTAAATTATGTTTAATTCAAAAGGTAGAGATGTCCAACAGAGCCACTCACAAAGATTTGAAACGGCCACCATCAATCAATTCTATTTTGAATACAACTTATCAAATTTTGAACTATGAGAAGGTAGTTGAAGCTTCATGATTAAAAAATACAATATTTTATTATAAATTATCCTTTCTTTTCCTCAAATAGGAGAACAATCCATTGTTATTGAATGGATCTATATTTAGTTATAATGAAGTTCATGAGCGTTTAAAAAAATTTAAACAATGTTTGGCCGATAAAGAAGATTTTGAGCTTTATTTTGCCAAGGTTGATGTTAAATGTTGTTTTGATTCAATTGATCATGACAAACTTATGGAAATAATTCGTGCTAATGTATTAACTAAGGTATATTATAATAAATAATTATTTAGTCTAATATATTATTTAGAATGGTTTATTGTTTTTATTTAGACACAATATGTGGTAAATCGATATGATGCTGTTCATCCAAAAGGTGGGAATATTCGTAGAAACCATAAACATTATGTCCATAATGGAGGTAGGTCTTTTCAATTGATTGTTATTTTGTATTGGTTATTTTTAATTTTTTACATTATTTTTTTTATTTTTTTCAAAACAATTATAGAGGAATTTATATCTTTTCCGAAATATGCTGTTGAGTTGGCCCAAAAATATAAGAATGCAATTCTTATTGAAAATGTTAAAGAATCATATAAAGATTTAGAAGATATTCTTGAATTGCTGGAAGAACATATTCAACAAAACATTATAAAAGTACTTATAATCTATTTTTGAAATAATTAGGCTCTTTGCAAAACTAAAGCCATTCTCAATAATTCATGTATGTATTTATATAGGTTGAAGATAAATTTTATACACAAAAAGTCGGCATTCCACAAGGGTCAATGTTATCGTCATTACTATGTAGCATTTATTATGGAGTTATGGAGCAATCTGAACTTCAATTTATTAAGGATAATAATGGAGTAAATATTAATTTCAAATATATTTCTTTGTTTACATTTTTAATGATATAATATATTTAATAGTATTTATTTTCTTATTTCCTTATTTAATAGATTCTTTTTCACCTGCTTGACGACTTTTTATATATAAGTACAAACAAAGCGAATGTTATAAAATTTATTACAGTAATGCATCGGGGGAATCCTGAATACCAGTGCATTGTAAACAATAAGAAAAGCATGGTGAACTTTGATCTGGAAATCTCTGGTGAAAAAATAAATAAAGTTCATAATCCAGGAGGTATTTATTTTATTATTATTATTTTTCTTTCTTATTTTTATATTTAAATTTAATATACATATTAAATTTAATCAAGATTTTCCGTGGTGTGGGTTGCTTATTAATACTCACACCTTAAATGTCAAGGCTGATTACTCGCGATATGTTTTTTCTAGCAAGTATCTTAACATTATATTCTTTAGCTGATTTTATTATTTTATAATATTCGTTATATTGATTATTATTTTAATTAGATATTGCTGATACCTTGACTGTAAAGACAATAAAAAACCCTGGTGAATTTTTAAAACAAAGAATGATTGAGTAAGCAGTATATATTAATTGATATAATAGTTTCTTTGTATAACTATTTTTGTAATATAATTTATATTTTTGAATTAGATTTATGACAACAAAGTGTCATTGGATCTTTTATGACACTTCGTTGAATACCAGAGAAACCACTTTATTAAACATATACCAGAACTTTCTTATGGTAGCAATGAAGTTCCATAGCTATATAAAAGAGATGCCAAAATATCTTCAAAGAAATGAAAAATTTGAAGCTGGTAAATAATAAGTTTTGATTTCTTTAACTATATATATTTTTTTTTGCTAATATGTATTCATATATTATAGAAGTAGTGCACAACACCATTAAATCTGCATATGATGTGTTGTGTAAAACTGGAAATCAGGATAAATGCACCTTTAATATATTAAAAGAGGAAGTCATATGGTACATTTCAGAAATAAATTGGTGTATCAAATACTTTTTATTTATTTATTTATTTTATTTTATTTTATTACAGGCTTGGTATATATGCTTTCCTACTAATTTTAAATAAAAAACAAAATTTTCATCAAGGTGTACTTACTTATCTTAAGAAAATTTTTGAAGATTTCCATTTAAGAAGTAAAAAGCTTCTAAATATTATAGTTGATTGGAACTTTTCATCAATTTTTAGTAAAATGAAATTTTAAAAGGAAGTCTGATATATAGTTTAAAAAAGTATTATTTAAATATTTATTTATATATTTATTTATATATTTATTTTATTTATTTAAATTAACAAAAAAATTATTTAATATTTTTATTTTAATTTAATAAATCTATTACTTATAATATTATTTTAATATTATACTTAATTAAAAAATTATATTTATTAAAATAATGTTTAATAATAATAAAACTAGTTATTTACTTCATATAGCTAAAAAATTAAGTGATATGAAACTTTGTTAGCAAATAATAAAATAATTTTATATAATCTATATTATTGCAAATTAGTTAAATTAGTTAAAGTCAAAAAGTATTATCCAAAAAAAAATACTAAGAAAGTTTGATTGAATATGGAAGTATATACTTTTCTAAATAAACTATTGATATAGACATATTATGCAATTTTTTGGTTGTGATTCTCATATTATTCATAATACATTAGTTTTGTAGGTGTGGTGTTTATATTTATTTCAGCGACAGTTTTTTTTTGAATGCCTGATCCCTGTTCATCATCTCCTATAATCAACGCTTACAAAATAAAGATGTAATTTTTTGGTTATTTGCTTCTGCCTTGACTAAAATTATAGAAACTATTAATTTTACGAAATATATATTTTTATTTATCTTTACTACATTACGCATCGGTGTCTACACTAGAGGGAAGTTCAATTAAGACTAAATAATCAATATTTTTACTGTATTTTATTCCTGCATTTTTGTATATGCTATTTTTGTAATAATAAATGTAAAGCGTAAGCTGTAAATTACTAAATTGATTGATCATATTTAGACCAGTATAATTAGGATAAGGTAGTTTTGAAAGGTTTGTGAAGTTCAGGTGCATCATTAGTGACAAAATAATAAATAATATCTAATGTATAAAAAGTTAAATGTGCTAGTTGTATTTTAACATAGCTCTAATAACCTTGCTCATTGATCGTATTACTAAGAAACACTTTAGCAATACAACAATGTATAATTATCTTCTCATACCAGCTTTCAATAAAATCATTTTTTCACTCACTTCACTTGTTATGACTTCCATCACATCTAATTTTAATAAATCTTTAACCGGAAAATTCAAAGAAGCTTCATACGCTAACATTATCATTTTGTCATTTATGCACATGAAATGGCGGCTCAATGCACTGATGCTATTACAAACTCGCGCAATTGCTTCACGATTTTCTTGATCAATTTCCTATATTAAATTGAACATATATTAGCATGCAATACAGAATTATAATATTGTGAGATTTTATTACCTCATTTTCATTAGAATAAATGGCCAATTCTTCAACTGTTTGTGTTGTATGCTTGCTCACCCAAATATAACCATTCAAACCTAAAGTCAAATTAACTCCACACGGTAACGTATGAAAATGTGTTTTACATCGTTGAACAAGTGCTGGTGGAACTATAACAAAAGAACCATTACGTAACTTATATAGAAATAGACAAAAAAAAACGCATATATATTAACATATAAATTTTTTTTAATTGTAAAAGCACTATTTAGTTATTTTATACCTTGCCATATTTAAGACTTCTTATGTGTAATGAAAAAGAACCATCCTGAAAAGTTTCTCGTACTTCAGCCTGAAATAAAAATTAGCATGTTTTTAGACGAGTCATAAGATGATTAAATTTTCAAATTGATGCAATACCACTAATAAATCTCCCTCAGAAAAAAACTTTCTCATTTGAAGTTCATCTGCCTCAGTTTTACGTCTCTAAATAACGCATATAAGTAATGATCATTAACGTGCAAAAGTAAAAATTGAAAAAATCGGTCAATGCATAAAAATTTACTTGTACACCACCAGGAAGGTTAATGGACGACAACAATAATACTGCATCTTGTCTTGAATTTATATCAACTTTCCATCTTTTTTGTGAAACCTATCATAAAATTAATTTTTCAATTAGGAAGTCAGGCCAAGTTCATACAAACATTTCATACAAACTTTTGCTAATTAGATTAAATCATTATAGCTTACTTCTGTAATTCTACCTATTACCAAATCTCCAATTTCACCCGTATACCTGTTAAAGAATCTAATGAATATCATGTGCGTTGCGAATAAACACAATATTACTTAAACATACCTCGTGTGTAAGGGGCGTATAGAAATTAGTTTGTTGACGCGATCAACCACGCCGGCTACCGATGACAAACGTTGATTTGTCTCAGGTGAAATATAAGTTCCATGACCTCTAAATTTATATTAATTTAACCTCCATATCGAATCTGAATTCTGATAAAATCTGAAACAAACCCCATATATTGTGTAGCATGAGTTATGGTTTCGCCAGGCGTCACAACTTTCGTCTCGAAATTTTCTCTTTCTGTTTTAAGAAGCATATCAATATCTCCATCCGCATCAACTTTATTTGTATACGATGATGGCTTTGGGGAGAGGAATTGAAAAGTCATTGTTGAAAATTTGAGTAAGACGCGAGCGCGACTTAGTCACTATCGAAAAAAAATTTGTGATTCGTGATTATTGGCTAATCAGATATTCGGTAATACAGATCGATGTGACAGTTAATATTTTCTTTTTAAAATTTTAAAAAAATCAGTTAATTTCACTCTTTAATAAATATGATGAATTCTTCCGTTTTTGCACGTTCAACTATCCGCTCCCGTGTATTAACTCGTCCAATGCGCGATGGTGCTTATCATTGGGAGAATGTTGACGGTTCGGTTAGTTCTTATTTTAATTTTTTATTCTATTATATTTCCATCAACTATCTCTATTATTTTAAAAGTATTATTTATAAATAAGAGTTGTCTTTATATATTATTAGCATCTCCCCTTCAGCACTAAGAGTAAGGCAGGTCTTGCTATCAAAATGGGTTTATTCCTTGGTACAGGATTTTCTCTTCCATTTATCGGTAAGTAATTTAGAATTCAGTTTTTCTTCCTTATGATTTAAAATTCTAATAATTTGTATTATTAATGAATCTAGCCGCGTGGTGGCAATTGTAAGTATTTTCATTTCTTTTTGTCCTTGTTTTATCATTTCAAAGGTAATTAATTATAAAATGACTATTTATAGTAAGAAGGCCGGTAAACCTTTTTTTAGGCCTGGACCACCCCCAAGTGATTAATTCTCATCGTAGTTATTGTAATTATTACTTTCAATGGTATCAAACTTTTTATATTAATATAAACCGAATTTCAATTTAATTATATGTTACATTCTTTTTAATTTTCATGAGCAATCGCTTAATAAGTTGCTCAGTACAAATGAAAAAGATTTCAATAATAAAATAAAAACGAGACAAGAACGAATAATTTATCTAATATTATTTAAAAGTTTCGTCGTCATCATCATCATCATCATAATCAGCACTGACTAAAGATATACCTGTCGTAGTGGTGCCTACAAAACAAAATGGGATAAATCGATTGTAAAATGTATCTAAAAAAAGTTATCAATTTACCTTTATTTTTTTTATCATTTACTGGAGTGATATTTCTGGAATCTAACACTTCTGACTGATGGTGATTACTTTCTTTTTTCTTTATAATAACCAAATCCTTGTTATTTTCACCTTTTTCAGTTCCATTAATATTATTTCCGGTATTCCAATCATTATCTTTTAAAAATGGATCTATTTTGAGTTTAGTGTTTACTGCTACAATTGCTGATAATTTTGCGAATTTATCTTTAGAATCATGAGTATGGAATTTTGATCTTTTAGATTTTGATGTTTGTTTGTTAAATATGGATGATGCTGTTATTTCTAATTTACGTTTTTGAGCTTTTTCAAGTAATTGATCTATAATATAAATGAAATAAATAGAATAAATAAATAGAATAGAATAAAATATAAAATAAAATAAATAAAATTTTTTTTTGAAAAAACCTGAAAACTCAGTTGTTCGTGCTTTAACTATGTCTTCCTGAGATTCTGGTAAAAGTGGTATTGATAATGCATTTCTATCACATATTTCTTCATCTGCACGTTTCTTAGCTTCGAGCTCTTTTTTCTCTTCCTTTCAAAGGAAAGGAAACAAAAGAGTCAATAATTATATAAATTATGCATTTTACTAATTGCAAAGAAGATTCATACTCGAAATTTTTTGCGCATTCGCTGTGAATGTGTATATGGATCTGCCCATTGTTTATCATTTAACCTCTTCGAGGACAGGAATTCATTAATAACTTATTTCTGCGAAATTATTATAATAATTTGATAATGTAGGACATACTTGAAGCTGCGTTAAAATAGGAAGAGTTTCTCTAGATCTAAGTTCATCTTTAACAGAATATTCAAGCTTATATAATGCATTATCAACCATTTTCTTAGCTTCATCATCATCTATTAGAGATAAAAGATCAATAATGTATTCAGCACAATAAAAAAAATTAAATACTATGAAAAAAAATACCTTTTAATTTAATGACTTCAGAATCTTCCGGTTCCCAAGTTTCGACTTTTTTACGGGCTCCAGAGACAACCAAATATTCAGCATTCTGGATAAAATATCGTAAAATGAATGATTATAAAAATTATTTAGATAAAAAAATTTATGATTTGATTATCTTACCTTAGGATCTGTGTGTATTTCAATCCAATTATCACATAAATGGCATTTCATCCTAAAACTGAATATTGGAGTGCTAAAATATTTTCCTATCTTCTTTTTCTCAGCATTATATCGAACACCTATACAAAGAATTAGTAATTAGACTTTGGAAACAAACAAAAAAAGTATAAAGTTACTACCTTTGCCAACATGATTTCCACACCCTTCACACCAGATGTTGAAAGGTAATTCGAATCTTGTGAGTTTCATACATTTCACAAAACACGCAATTTATTCAGTATCGATCTAAAGAATTTTATTTTTCGAAATTTATACAAGAATGACAAACCTGACAATTAAAATTCCTTGATCAATTTTACGCGCACGATCACCTAGTGGATGTTTTCCAACAAATTTATTAACGGAGCCCTTTAGTTTATGGAAAATTGTTAACAATTATCGTAATTTGAGGGAAGTAAATTGAACTAATAAAACAATACACACCTTCTCCGGAGTCCAATCAGGCGGATAATATTTATTAAAAGGTTGCATCTTGTAATTCTATTAGTTAAAGTTATACTGCTAATGACAAAGTTCTCAAGAAATTTTTTCTAGTGATTGTTTTTTTTGAAATCTAAGTTTGCCATCCTATATGATTCGTCATTCGTAGAATTGAGATTTTCACCACGTGACATTACAAAGTGACGTTTTGATTTAGATCTTGTGTAACTTCCAAACTTTAAATTATGTAATTGTCGTGGTGGACAATAAAATGATAAATCAGGATATGTTACTCATTATCAGTTAACCGCAGGTTTACTGTGCCCATTTATAAATATACGAGGACCGCGTTCTCTTTCTTTCTACTTCTCTTTTTCTCTATTTGTAAAGTATCAAGATGCAAAAACCTCAGCGCGTAGCTGTTCAAAAGGAAACAATTACAGCTTTCTCCACATATAAATATTTTCACTCGCCAACTAATAAATTTAATCACCTCGATGCTAAAGATATTAAAGAAGAAATTGCAAAAGCAAAGTTTTATAAAAATGGTTCAATATTATCTAGAGAAATTGTTACTGAAAATCAAGAGAAACCAGTTGTAAAAGTCGTGAACAACGATTGTTTAATAGAAGCTTTGGAGTTAAAGAAGAAAGGTTATAGACCTTTGGTATTAAACATGGCTTCTGCAACAAGTGTTGGTGGAGGTATATATTAGTTAGCTAAATCTGTTCCATAAGAATTTAATTTGGATAATAATATATTTGTAATAATAATGAATGTATTTCAATATAGGTTATAAAAATGGAGCGGGAGCTCAAGAAGAGAATCTATTTCGTCGTACTAATCTTTTCCAATATCACGAATCTAACAAAAAAGATTGGTATCCCATACCGGAAATAGGAGGAATATATTGTCCTAACGCAACAATTATTAGATCTAGTGAGCAAGATCAATATGAATTTTTGGAAGTCCCTGAGATGATGTCTTTTGTGGTGAGAAGATTTTAACATATCTCTAAGTAATCGACTCAATAAAACACAGTCAAAATTAATTTATTAAAATAATAATATATATTAATTTCTAATAGGCAGTGGCAGCAATGCGTAGCCCAAGGTTGGTTAAAAATCACTCCGGAGAGTTTGCATTAGTTCCCGAAGCAAAAAAATTAACACAACGGAAAATACAAGCGATCCTTAATATAGGACTAGATAATGGTGCATTTCATTATAATAAAATCTCGTAATCAATCCATATTGAAATATTTATTATTCTTATTTTATTTAAAAGGTCACGACGCGATAGTTCTCAGTGCATTTGGATGCGGGGCTTATCGTAACCCACCGTCCATTATGGCTCAGTTATTTTATGAAGTGATTTCAACCGAATACGCTGGTGGTGGAGTGAATTTGCCTAAAACTTATCGTCATATATCTTTTGCTATAATTGATGATCATAACTCAAATAAAGAACATAACCCGGAAGGAAACTTTTTACCTTTCCAGAATAAATTTGCTAACGGTTTAGATGATAGACCAATTAGCGATATCTCTGACGCAATGGATTCTATCCAAGAATCATCAGAACAAGTAAATCAGCAGAATTTGCTTAATAATAATAATAATAATAAGAGTAAGAATGAGGATAATTATGATTATCGAAGGAATAATGTCCAAAATCGACGACCATATAATGAGATAAGGGGCAAAGGAAGAGGGAAAGTTAGAGGAGGATTTGGACGAGAAGGATCGTCACAGACTCATGGCAAGCAGATGACCTTGGATGCAGTTTGGAAATATAAACCATCACAGGATCATATAGATCAATTGATAAGGATGGGATATTCAGCGAAAATTTCAAAACGGGCATTATACACCACTGAAGGAAATATGGAAGAAGCTGTAAATTGGCTAATGCAAAATGCAATATCTGATAAAATGATAAGTCTTAGCATTGATAAAAATGAATCGTGAATTAATGTATCACGTGATATACTACCCATTCACGCTGTTTATTTTTTTGCCTAATAAAATTAATTAACGTATTGATTAACCACTCTTTTAGAAATAAAATAAATTAATTATCGTATTACAATTTACAAACACCAATTTGGAAACTCTAATTATGATTTGTCGATAATTGATCCATATTTGTACATAATCCTAATATTTTCGCGTGTTAGTAACAAATTTTCCTACTTCTCTCGACATTAATAGTTGTTACGAACTTTACGAAATAATAATAAAAATGACTTATCGTGGATGTGCTGTTATAACATATTTTGTAGTATTAATCCTTTTGCTTTTGTCTTTCGGGTTCAGTAAACCTACCATTCCAGCTGCTGAACCTTCTCGTTTTACGGGATATCCGACATGGCATGGAAGACTTGACCGTTTGTATTTTTTAATTATTGATATAAAATTTATTGTTTCATCATTATTTAATTTAATGTAAAATTTATTTTTAATAGATTTCGATCAACAAACGTATGATACTTCACTTATATTTTTAATTATTACTTCAATTTTATCGGGTTATTACTCATTAAAGTGGACCTCAACTCGAGATTTACCGAAAAAATATGTTACATATATTTATCAAGAGAACGGAAGTAGAATTTCCGCTACTTGGTTTAATAAAGCTATAGCTTACTATATTGTATTTACTTCTTTTGCTGGAATTGCTTTATTCTATTTAGATACAGGGAAATTATGGTCAACATTTGGTATTTTGCATAATATTTGGGAAGTTTGTATTTTATTATTATTACATCAAGGAGGAAAAATTACTTCAAGTTTTTTTTTTGCGTTCATTGCATTTTACGTATTTATTGTAACTTTGTTGGATATTGTCTTATCTTGGCCTTTTGATGCAGTTTGGTTCAAAGTTCAAGGTAATAAATTTCTTTTTTAAGAAAAATTTATTAAATCATTCAAAATTATTAACTCTTTTTATTTTAATTATTTATAAGGTCTCTGTTCAGATTATGCGTTATTTATCGTATTTGTTCGTATTTATCTTGCTACACGGGAATATGTTAAAGAGCAATTATCAGCTCAACTTCCCATCACTAACGAGGATGATCTTTCACCATCCGATGAAGAACCAAGCGTTTCTCCTAAAATTATTCAACACCCAAATCAAATCTTATTATTACCTTTTGCATCTTTTTTTCATATATTAGGAAATAGTATTCCCACACTCTCACCAACTGATGGAAGATTGTAAGATTCTTTTTTACCGTTTGCTTATTTGCGATTTTTTTTAATATGTCTAGTGATACATTTTAACATTTTTTTTTTAATTTATAGATATGTTTTTTTCAATCTAACTTATAGTATTGCGCTTCCCGCTTATGCACTTTATATATACTTTGATACACATTGCACAAGTATTTTACATTCGAAACGAATTTTATTACCTGATACATCTAAATGGAAAGTTTTCTTAATTACCATATGGTCTATTATTCTATCGATTATAATAATAAGAGGAGCCTTTATTTAGTTGAAGTCTCCCGTGATTTAATTTACGGTAAATCGGTATTTATCTAATAACCAAAAATGAGCAAAGTTAACAATTAATCAAACAAATAACTATTTTTGTACGTTAAAGGAATAACAGTAATAAAAAAAAAGGAATCAAATAAAATTTGCGTTTAATAATTTATGTTTAATTGCCTGACTTTTTAGAATCTTAACCAAAAATCGACATAATCACAAATCTTTCCATGCGGAGACATTTGTACATTTTAGTAATTCAATGATAATATTTTTAGGCGAATTTTTTACCAATTTTCGTTAGACAACGTTAAGCAGGGCTGTGTAAGATTCGAAAATAAGCTTTACTCTTAATAACTTGAAACCAATTTGCTTATCAAACATAAATAGATGAATGTAACATGCCCGAATTGAACACGATTGGTAAGTTAAAAAGGTGGAATAGGTGGAATATTAATCCAATTAGTTAATAAACGATTTTTATATATTATAACCGAACAAACGTATCTTTGTAATTTTTTTTTATATACAATAAATAAAATAATTTGTGAACTTATTTTGGATAAAATGGATATGAATTGGTGGACATTCGTTATATTCGTTATATTACACCAACAATTATGACGTTATTTCGTTATTTCCTGAAACATGAAATGAAATAGGTTTGTTTGTGTTGTTAATATATATACAATATTTAATAATTAAGTTTTACATTATATATATTATACATTATCATATTGTACTTAATTGTAATTAATATCACGTGATTGTACATCATTTCAAAACGGATGAAACATCCCTAGGAGGAGATAACACTCATGACGTTATAAAATTCTTATTTTATTTGATTCATTTATATTTCTGATATTTAGATAAAAATAGATAATAACTACTCCATCTCTCAATATATAAAAGTCCCAAATTATTTTGATTCAAACCAAGATTTCTGATTTCGATGCTCGTACAGCACGACCGATCAGATTAAAATCAATAAAGAAAAACAAATGGACATAATTGTAACACAAAATGTATTCTACTTAAACCTTAAATGATGTATGTGTTGAGGCCGTATGCATTTTAATTTCCCAAATGCCGGCGAAAAAAAATTTCCAAAGTATTGATAATCCTTATTTAGTCTGGCAAGTGAATTATAATTTGATATTTAAATTAAAAAATGTATAATTTTTTTTTCTAATTTCCTATAAATAAAAAACAGAGAAATAATATATAATTGGTTAACAACAATATGATGTAACACTAAATGTATTAAATCGATCATTTTTCTTATGCAAAAATATACTGATTTGTTGTTACACGATCATCCTAAAACTGGTAATACATTTTTATAATTTCAATTCCATTGTTTTTTTCTTCATTCCCTTTTTAACCTCTTTCCCTCATTTCTTACCTTATCGAAGAACCTTTAGGTATTATCCTTATTTGTGTGTACTTTAGTTTAAGTACAAGGTTCACTGGTGACCTTGCAACTTAAACTTGTTTTTGGCATTTAAACTTATTTTATGCCATTTGTTCACGCTCGCTTGTAAAATTTTCAATTAAAATCAATATCACATTCTTTTTTTTTTAAAAGACATTCTTTCATTCTTTCCGGATTAATTGAATTAATTCTACATTAATACCGTACATATTATTACACACATACATTCATATTAAAAAACAAAAAATATAATTTTACAGAAAAAAATCAAAACTTACAAAATAAAAATTTAAAAACTATAGAAAAATCGCATTTTCATCAAAATCATATCATATCATATATATAATATACTTCTGCAACATTTCTCATATTCAAAAAATAACAATAATGACCAGATCATATCTATCACCATTATCAAACTCAGTACGAATCCCATTAATAATATGGCTATTAATTATTATTACAAGTTTGATCACGTTGGCAAATTCGAGCAAAGGTCAAAATATTTATTCAATTTCCTCAAATGGTGTGCCGGACTCACCTAATAATAAAAACATTTTATATCGTAGACAAAATAATAAACCACCAGAGGATTCAAATAATGATAAGAAAAATGATTCTCCTCTAAAGGATGAAAAACCTAAACAAAATGATAACCCTCCAAAGAATGATGATAAGTCAAAAAACCCGAATGAAGGTAACCAACAACCAAAGGATGGAAAAGAGCAACCAAAGGAGAAACCGAAGGAGCAACCAAAGGAACAACCAAAGGAACAACAGAAGGAGAAACCTAAGGAGCAACCAAAGGAGCAACCGCAACCGAAGGAGCAACCGAAGGAGCAACCAAAGGAACAACCTAAAGAGCAACCAAAGGAACTACCAAAGGAACTACCAAAGGAACTACCAAAGGAACTACCAAAGGAGCAACCTAAGGAACAACCAAAGGAACTACCAAAGGAACAGCCGAAGGAGCAACCTAAAGAGCAACCAAAGGAGCAACCAAAGGAGCAACCAAAGGAACAACCTAAAGAGCAACCTAAGGAACAACCAAAGGAACTACCAAAGGAACTACCAAAGGAACAGCCGAAAGAACAGCCGAAGGAGCAACCAAAGGAACAACCAAAGGAACAACCAAAGGAACAACCAAAGGATGGAGATAATGTTATCAAGAATCCACAGCTACCAGGAGGTGATCAAAAAAATCCGGATCCTAAACAATTACCAAAGGATGGAGCAAATGCTCCACCAACACCAGGAGATGATCCAAAAAATCAAGATCCAAAAGCATTGTTACCGAAGGATCCGCAAAATGAAAACCCGAAGGACGGAGGTCAGGCTATCAAGAATCCACAGCTACCAGGAGGTGATCAAAAAAATCCGGATCCTAAACAATTACCAAAGGATGGAGCAAATGCTCCACCAACACCAGGAGATGATCCAAAAAATCAAGATCCAAAAGCATTGTTACCGAAGGATCCGCAAAATGAAAACCCGAAGGACGGAGGTAAAGCTATCAAGAATCCACAGCTACCAGGAGGTGATCAAAAAAATCCGGATCCTAAACAATTACCAAAGGATGGAGAAAATGCTCCACCAACACCAGGAGATGATCCAAAAAATCAAGATCCAAAAGCATTGTTACCGAAGGATCCGCAAAATGAAAACCCAAAGGACGGAGGTAAAGCTATCAAGAATCCACAGCTACCAGGAGGTGATCAAAAAAATCCAGATCCTAAACAATTACCAAAGGATGGAGAAAAGGCTCCACCAACACCAGGAGATGATCCAAAAAATCAAGATCCAAAAGCATTGTTACCGAAGGATCCGCAAAAAGAAAACCCAAAGGATGGAGGTAAAGCCATCAAGAATCCACAGCTACCAGGAGGTGATCAAAAAAATCCAGATCCTAAACAATTACCAAAGGATGGAAAAAAGGCTCCACCACCACCGGGAGATGATCAAAAAAATCCAACTCCTGAACCCACACGACCTAAAAACCCGAACCAACCTCCTCCTACAGATAGTAAACCTTCGGCACCTGAACCCACGAACGAATCGCCCAACAATAATCCTAACAACGAAAACGAAGATAACAAAAATAACGATAATGAAAATAACGATGATGACAATAACGATGATGACAATAATAATAAAGATGACAATAAAGATGACAATAATGATGACAATAATGATGATGGTAATGGTGATAAGAAGGACAATAATGACAATAATGATAAGAATGGTGGTAATGACGGGAAAGGAAATACCAAAAAACCAAAACCACTTCCATTTAATCCTCCAACAAAAATAAATATTACTTTGATGCCTACTCCTGTTGCCACAACATCTACATTTACAGTTCCCTCCAACATTCCTGAGAAAATCGTAGTTGATGAAGAGAATACGCCACCTCGTAAGTGCATAAATTTATTTCAGCCTAGAATTTATAATTATTTTACTAATAATATATATACGTAAATATTATATATTTTAGCAAATACCACTCAAGTTCAATTGAAATTTTCAGCACAGCTTCCGTGGTTACAAGTAGTCGGAGATGACGTCTTACCTTCACAATTTGTTAAATTTGTTCCGGAAGACATTGCGAAATTTACTGGAATTCCTTTAAAAGACATTACGGTTACGGACTTGCAAGCTGCTGATAATGGGGGTGTGCTTATGACAATAAATATACCTGAAAATAAATTCGGTAACCTTTCTAATGTAATTGCGAATCCCAGTAGTGCATTTTATTTAAAAGGCACGGAATTAAGTAAATTGGTTGATCCATCATCACCAATTGTTGTATCAGGAGGTATGTATTTCAATTGCTCCCTTTTTTTAAAAAAATTTTTATTAATGATAAATTATAATATTATTGTTTTCTTTAGATAATGTCCCAAACCCAACAAATTTGGGTTTTTCAGGTGGTAATTCAAATAGGGGAATAATTATTGGATTAGCAGTTGGAGGTTCAACAATATTATATGCAGGGTTAACGGCTCTCATTATTCGAGCTTATAAGAAAAAGAATTCAAAAAAAATGCAAAGACAAGAAAATCATGTTTACGGATCAACAAATGGGAATCCTTACACTGGACAATAATAAATGTATTATAGTTAATATATTTGTAATATCAGTCTAAATAGATTTTAGAAAAAGAATTAAAAAATGTATACTTGTAATTATTTTTGTATTGGGTTTGGGTTTTTTATTTGTTTATTTTTTTCTCCTTACATCGATTTAAATTTATTACCAAATATAATTATTATACTGTGCTTAGTTTAATTTTTCTTTAATTATTAATAAAATTTTTTAAAAAATTGCATATGTTGATAAAATTTACAAAGTTAAAAAATGTATAATTATTTTTATTAACAAGAATTTACTTTTTAAAAAAAGAACAAATTATATTTATCTTACATAAATAAGAAAATATATATTTTTATATATTACACTAAAAATAAAAGATCTTTTTCCTTAATACCAATTCTATTACAAATATTTTGTATAGAAAACATAAACTTATTATTACCACAAACAATAATTTTTGAATTATTAGGAAAATCCTTAATAATAGTAGAAGATGATTCAATTAATGGATCTTGTGAAGTAGAATAATGTTGTTGTTGTTGACCTGAAGAATAAGGCATTATAATTGCAGATTTAGGAGTATTATAATCATCAAAACTACTTCCAGTAAGTTGTTGTTGTTGTTGAGGATAATAAATTATTTGAGTAGGTTTTGCAACAGTAATATCACTATTAATATTAACAGATAACCAATCAAATAAAATAATATCATCAATATAACCTTTAAGACCATTCCAATCAGGAGGAGAATTAACAAGTATGTGAGTAATATTAAGATTTCCTTTAAACTTTTTTAACATACTATCTAAATGTCTTGGATAAATAATATCATCAAAAGAATCATTTGCAAATAATAAATGTAATTTAAAACTTGTTGTAGAATATTGATGCTGTTGTAACTTATTTTCAAATTCTTTCAAATGATAATGGATCTAAAATAATAAAAAAATATATGTTTATTTCATTTATTATAATAATAAAAAATCATTAAAAAAAAAATAATATAATACTTTACCAATTGTAACATTGGAGTTATACCAGAACCACCACAAATCATAAATAAATTATCCCAACATCCATTTGGATTATTTGGATTTAAGAGAATACAATTAGAAATAGATAATGGTTGATTATTTGGAATAACATTATCCGATAAATTGAATGGACCTCTAACTGATATTTCAAAATTTTTCAGTTGTTTATCCTAAAAGTGAAAAAAAAAAGTATTAATCAATGATATTAATTTTATATTAATAAATTAATACTTACCAGATATTTAGACATAAATCCATCTTTATAGATTTTTACTAATATCCAAAACATTCTATCCACTTTATTTTCATTAATATTTTTATCTTCTTGATATTCATCAGAGAATTCATGTAATAAAGGACAATAATGTCTAATAATCTTTTGATTATCAATATCACACATAATTTCAATATAATCTCCTGGAATAAATTTCCTATAAGGAAAATTATCATTTTTATGAATTGGTCTCAAATTAAATTTTTTAACTATAGGAGAATCCGTTAGAAAATTATTTGTTACTATCTCAATATTTGTTATTATACATCTATGAAAAATACTTGGTGATAAATTAGGAGGGTCAACTTGAGGAGGGGGTTGATAGTAACTACTAGAATAATGTTGTCTATATTGTTGCGGAATAAAAGGAGTAAAACTTTTTTCATTTTCATCGGATAATATAGCAACTACCATAGTAGCCAATTTTTCTGTCGCAAATCTTGAATGACCATGTACAGAAACTCTACTCGACTTCCTCCCCAAAGTTTTATTAATATTACTAACATCGATAAAATTTGCTAAAGTTTCACTCATACCCCTTTTTTTGTTGTTATTTCTTCTCATCATATCACTCTGATTTTTCTTTTGTTCTTGATCTGACATATATACATATTCATCATCTCCAAAATTACTTTCTGATTGATCACTGCTATTATTATTGTTACCAAAAAAGTCACGAGTAATGTTGGTTCCTATTACCCTTTGTAAGATTTTCGCTCCTCCGGGATGATATTTTATCCACTTACTTATATCGAATATCATATTTCCCACGATAACTAATTTCATTCCACGGATTACTCTCTGATTAAATTCGTCTAATGTTAACATTGGTAATTGATCATAATCTTTAACATAATTACGTAATTGTTGCTTCGGGTGATTGGTGTCAATTTTATTATATCGAAATTTTATCTCTCTTATTCTAATTAAATTTTCACTTGCAACAAATATAAGTATTAATATTCCTATCCATACTAAATAAAGGGTAGACCAAAGTTTCCTAACCAAAAATCGTTGAGCGTATTCTTTTAACCCAATATATACGTTTATTCTACAAAAAATATCGTCATTAGTTAAAAATTGCATTATATAACTTATTGAAGGAAAAGTAACATTACGACTTACAAAGAGAGGACGATTATCAGAACTCCGAGAACACAATGAATACGTTTTAATAATCTTAACATTCCCACATTAACTGATTCAACATTTATAAGACTCCACATATTAAAAAGTCCTAATACGATTTGCAAACCCATCGTAAAAAATATTGCTATTCCAATTCTAATTGAAGTTCAAGCACAGTCGTTAAATTTCGTAAATTTAATTTTTAAAAAAAAATTCTTATGGACACGATAAAAATACTTACATTCCATGAGGAGTTAAAATATATTTTTCAGATATTGCTAAAGCGATTCCGCCAAATACAGCAACTATGAATACTCCTAAAATTTGTAAATTTCGGTGTTTTTTCATGTACGAACCACTCGTTTTCATAAATCTAACTCTCCATATCGAAACTTTTACGGAAATATAAATACATGATTAATAACGACGATTAATTTACTGCGAATATAATAATCGAAATCTTTTGATGCTTACTCGGATAAAGAAATCTATTTAAATTATAAAATCGGTTAAATGTATCATTTGTATTCAAATTTATAATATAAGTAACAAGTAAATTTTACTTACGCCCATACAGAAAACATTCCAATTCCATGATATAATAAATTCTTTCTTTTTTTATCTTCCATTTCATCAATTTTTGTAGAAGCAAAGAAATCCATTTTCATTGACCCTTTATTCCCCGCATGATAAGTGATAATATTATTGCTTGGATTCCAAGCATATATCACTTATTTTTTTTTTTTAAAAAAAACAAATAAATTAGTTATTTTGGAAGAAAAATACGTGAAGATATTATACTTACTCGTTATTAAGTTATTTTCGGTAATTGGTTTCAACGAACTACCCTTAGCTTCTAACGGCCTACTAACTTCGACCAAACTATAAACTCCACTTTTAACATCAACATTTCTTACTTTCACTTGCTGTTCATTAAGTAATTCTGGTGTAATATACCCATCAGATTTATATTGTCTTACTTCAATATTATTATTAGTATTTCTAAAAATTATCATATCTGAAGTTATCATACTGTCCTGATCACTAAATCCGATAGCAAACCATCCAGATGTACTAGCAACAGTCAGTCTAAAATAAATTTCATTATTATTAACTATCTTCCAATGAACTTTAAAAGTATCCGATATTGATACATGATTTAATGGTGGATAATCCGATTGAAATAATAATGGATCATTAATTTTAGAGCTATCAGTATTTAATTGATTTATACTATTGGGGTTAGGTATAGTTAAGTCTGATACGGACTTTAATGATGTTGATGGTTGTACTATCCAAATATTTGATGGTAGTTGATATGTATTTGGTGTATTTCTTTTTATTACTTGTGATAATGTTGTGTTATTTATTTCAGCAATATCTTCTTTAGAGTATTCTGCGTCAGGAGATTCGTACCAAAGTCTATCAGAATTTCTTACCGACAACCACTAATTAAACGAGTCAAAGGCGAAAAATCGAATTTAATATTAATTTTTTAATAAAAAAAAAAAAATAAATAAAAAAAAAAAAGCTTTCCTACCTGATCGTAAAAACTCTTGTAAAGTAATTCACCAAAATCTGAACCTTTTACATGATCTTCAGCAAGTCCACCAAAAAAAGCTTCAACTTTATCAATATCATTCGAATAGGCACTTATTAATCTTTGTTGTACTTCTGTATCATTTGTTATGTCTGACCATTCACTCGCTCTTCTTAAACCCATTGCTTCTCTTGCATCATTATATAATGGTATCGCATGATCCCTATTTCTTATCACATCAAGACTAATAATTATAAAGATTGAAATACATTAAGAAATTATTTAATCCGTTGTAAAAAGAGTTTTTCTTTTAAATATAGTTACCTAAATATATCCATTTCTTCTGTTTGATTTTGATATTGTGCAATAAATTTCCTCATCATATCTGCAATATATATATCAATTTCCTCCTGTCTTTGAAAAGTAAAAATACACATAAATGTAAATAATTTTTTTTTTATTTAATTAATAAAGTATACAGCATTTGTTATATTTTTAATATTACCTTTGAAGAGCCATTGAAAGGATTAAAGTTGGTATACCATAACTCTCTAATAAATGTGGTATTTGTAATGAAGTTAATGGTAACGTGGTCAATATATTTCCTTGATTGTTTACTATATCATAATAATCACTAATAAAGATAAAAATGTTTTAACGACAAGTTGAAAAAAAAAACCATTAACAATATAAAAAAAAAAAAGTATTAATTTAAATACCTAATTTCGGAATGACCATATCTATATGTAACGGTTGCAAAGAATGTATCGATACTTGGTTCCAAATATGGATCATATCCGTCATAAGATGGTAAAGGTGATCCTAAGGAAATTCCGACTTTTATTTAAAAAAAAATATTATTAGTCATCACATTTATTCTTACATCAGTTTGGAAATTCATTCATAACAATACTTACGATATTCATAAAATGAAATATGTTGAAGCAAACCAATAACCCATTTTCTACATTCTTGAAAATACGTATCATCTGACCAATTATTTCCATGTATATCCCACAATTGATCACATTTTCTATTATGTTCTCTTAAAAATATTATGTAAAACGTATCAGTAAATAAATTCCTTCCTTTCGTAGCTGTATAACCAAAAATATATTCTCCATTTATATCTTTAGGTGGGTATCCAAATTTTGAATCTTCTGAATCATTATTACTAATTAATAACATCTTTCCTCGATTTCCATAATCTCGTACTCGTAATAATTGTTCAAGATTAATACCATATAATTGTGAACCATCTACGAATGGTGTGGCAGTATTTGTTCCTGCTAAATTTGATGTTGAAGGTGATCGTTGAAATTGAAATGATGCCTAGGATTTTTTTTTTTTCAAGAGAATAAAATTATTATTAAATTATTATTAATATTTCATAAAATTTATCAATATATTATTAAAATGAAAAAATAATAGGGTACCACATCAATTGCTAAATTTGGACCTTGAGAAAAACTTGACAAATATGATCGATCATCTTGTGGAATATAAATACCAGTTGGATAACTATCACCGCTATAGTCTCCAGCAATTAAATCAAAACTCGCAAAGAAACCCCAAAAAGTTGACTATAACCGTTAAATTAAAAAATTTAGTTAATTACTGCGGCAAAATTATCTAACTACGTCACATATAATTAACAAAAGATTTTAAAACATACTATGTGAGAAATTTTACGTTTCGATTTAAATTTTTCTAAAGTACTCAAATTATATACATCAGTTAAATTTGCTCTAACAGATCCAATGATATTACTAACACATCTAGGTAACGGATATAAGTCCTCAGGCAATTGGGCGCTTGAACTACAACTTGCAAGATTAGTTGGTACTAATGATGAATAATTTCCTGGAGTTGCAGGCAACGATTGAAAATCATTATTAAAGTTAGCAGAATTGGAGAAGAAAGAAACAGGTGGATTTTCTCGAGCTAATGTTGTTGATAAAATCGGATTTCTTAAATTATTGTACGTTCCATTTAATGTTCTATATTCTGTATATACAGATTTGAATAATAAAGAAAATAGAAATAATATTATCAAATGGTTTATCATTATTATCATTATTATTTTTTGAATTTTTTTTTTTTACATTAAAATTTTAGAGAGAAAAAAAAAAAGAATTTATCGTCTGAATATTTTTTTTTTTTTTTTTTAAATCCAAGTTCACACGAATTATAAGAAACAAGTTTTTCTTTAAAAATTGATGATAAATAAGGTGAATCATTGTATAAGCCATCCGGTAATTACCCATTTTTAAAACAATTTATCTAGCCGTAAATTACGGTATATCTATAACGATAATTTAAGTCTAAGCCATTTTTTTCATGAAATTTCAAGTCGGCGTCCGTTAATGACATAATATCAAGAGTTTATTTAGTCAAATTGAATTTTTATATTATAATGAATTAGGTTTTTTATGCATATAAAGGAAAGCTTTATCTAGATCAGCATTAACTGATCGACATACATTGCGCTTAACACGAGTTTTTTAATAATAACTTTGCTGAACTAGCTGCTTTTCTCTTAACTATTACGAATGTAAATATTTGAATAATAAATTACCTCAATATAAAATTATATTTATCATGGCGTTATGGAGTAGTACAGACATTCAATTCTTTTTTGGTTAAAAAATTCGTTATTAATTAAAGAGTGAATTTTTATTTAACCGACACTTGGTAGTCTCGTAAAGAGATTGAGAAGATTGAGATTTGGCTTTAATATAGTCGATAGTATTAAAATTACGTACCATTTGTGAAATTTATCAACATGTGACTAAGAGTGTAATTCAACGTATTATTATTTCGAATTTTTGATGACATGTATATTTTTATCCATTTTTATTTTTAAATTAAAATCACCATTATCGCCGGTGTCACGTGACTATTAACTATCACTATGGTCACAGTTGACAGTTGACAGCTGCCACGATGGGGGATAATCAGTATTCTGTTGTAATAATTATATATTTACTTGTTAATAGTAAAATAAAACTAATAATACAAATTATATACAATAAAATATAATTATAGCAGGATTATACTACTTTTTAATTTTAACCTAAATATAATAATAAATAATTAATAGTTATATTATTAATAAAATTTCATAATACAAATTAAGTAATATTTAATTGTATATCAGTATATCGAATATCGGTGATGAACAGGATTTTTCAAATCGTCCCTTTTGATAGTTTATATTGAATTTACAATCGATTAATTGATGTTGCACAATTTATCACCCTTTTTTTCTTTTTTTTTGTAGGAATGCATGCAGTTTGATCTGAATGGTAAAATGGGCACCTATATTATATATCATAATAAACAAACAATACTTAATTAATGAAAAAAGTTTTTTGATCCCGGTTCGTATAAAAAAGTTCATTGTGATTCTAAATAAGATTTTGGAATATTCCCAAATTAGCGTTAATGTAAATTAATAAAATGATTTTATTAAATTTCGGAGACTCGCATTATTGTAAATGAGCAACAATCCAAAGTTTTATTATCCAACTTTATTCATTAAAAAGTTGCATATTTTTTTGACTTTAAAAAGTAGTAAAATAATTATTAACTGCGAGAATACAGGAATAGATTGAATCGATTATCATTTAACTTTAGTAATTAATTTATATTTTATTTTATGCACTATGTACTACGTTACTACTATTTTAGGAACAAGAAAATCCGGTATAAACAAAATTGTCATGATACAACGTCTTCTTTATGCATTGAATTTATTACAAGAATAAATAAATAAGTAGAACAAATAATTTCCATATGTTATGATTGTTATGATTTGGAGAAAATTTAAGTTTTTTTCTTTTTTTTTCTTTTCTTTTTTACTTTTCTTTTTTCTTTTTTTCCTTTCTTTTTTCCTATTTATTAATTAACCAACTGAATTATAAAGTCGTTAATCAATAATCCTAACAAAAATCATAACTTTTTTGTTGAAAAATCTATATATGTATATTCCGATCATTTAATACTTTTCCTTTTTTAAAAAGTCCTTCAAATAAAATGATCGTCTTCCCTCGGGCATTAGTGTATGGCAATTTATGCACTTATAATACATATATGTATATATGTAGAATAACTGTCACACAAAAAAAAATTGTATTAAATTTGTCCTGTTGAACCCGTATTCATAAAGACACTTTTTTCTTTCTCTACTCTAATTAATTTATTACTATTTTTGTTCATTTTATTCTTTATATATTGAACTTTTTTTAAAAAACAAAAACTTTCCTTTTCATCCGTATATAATATTTAATTTCACATGTCTAATTCAATTAATGTATGTTATTCATTAAATTATATATAAGTACTTGTAAAATCAATTTAACGAGTTTTTTTTTTAAAAAAAAAAAATTTCCTTGATCTAGACATCTTTTGGAGCTTCTAAATCGCCGCCTTCTCCTATTCCTAAATCACCGATAATGCCTTCACAAATGGCAAATTATCTACCATATAATAATAAGCCAAAACTTGGTCCAATAACTGATCTTATTGAAACCGAAGAAGAATACTTGGATGATTTACAATGCTTGCTTCAAGTAATTTTATATTTAAACTTTAAATTATATTAATTATTATAAATGATCTTACAATGTATATATATATTTATATATATATATATATATTTTTTTTCTTTGACCTACAGCAAGTTGCAAGTAATTGGGATCGTGATAATCCTCCACCACAAGAATTAGAAGCTATGCTTAATATTCTTGGCGAAATTTATCATCATAATAACAATTTTTGTTCGGTGCATATCATATATATACATATATATTTATAATTGTTTTCTTTGATAAATGTAACTTATTTAACCAACATCTTTGATTTGATCCTATTTAGAAACTAAAGCAAATTGGGACTGATCTTTTATCGGCAAAAGAGCTTGGTGATACTCTAATATCATGGGTGAGTTAAATATTGTGCTCTTTGTTTTATTTTATTTCATTTATTTTATTAGTTCTTACTACTATCATTTCTTTTTTTTTATATATAATTTTTTTTTTTTTATTGTTATTATTTTTTCATAGATTAAAGTAATGGAAGGATCATATTCTGCATATTGTCAGAATTATATGCGAGGTGTTGATTTATGGCCTGAAATTGATAATAATTTAAGTTTACAACAAACTTTGAATGTAATTATTATTTTTTTAAAATTAATAAATGTTTTTGTTTAATTTCTAAATGATTTTTTTTTTTTTACTAGGCTATTTCTGCACAAAAGAATAAACCAGTTACCTTAGATTTCCTCTTTGATGCACCTCTCAAGAGAATTCATTATTACAAAAAATTTTATATGGTGTGTTTTGATTTTTTGATTTTTTAATGATTTGATTATGACTTTGAAAAACTTATTAGAATAATCTTCTCAATATAATTAGCGTATCCTTAAAAGTTCGGAACCTGGACGTTCAGATTATAATATATTGGCAGCTGCAAATAAACGTATTGATTATCTAATTGAATTAGAAAAGAATGCAAAAGAGAATAATAAGCGAAGAGAAAATGATCCCTTGTTAGTTCCACAACCTGTGATGCATACTTTTATTTCATCAACTAATTCACAAGGAAATAATATTACCGTCCCTGAAATGAAAAATCCAAAGACTGCTGTAAATGTCAATATCCTTGAATTAGAAAGGCAAGCAAGAGAGATGAATAATACAGAAGAAGATATTATTCCCTTACCGGTTCCACAATCTGTAGTGCACACTTTTATTTCACCTGTTAATACACAAGGAAATAATATTATTGTCTCCGACATAAAAAGTCAAAAAAGTCAAAATACTGTCATTAGATTTACTTTGCCGGAACTTGAAAATCAAATTGATACTTCAAGAGTTATGGATTTATTCACAAAACAACCAAAGGTTCGACTCATAATATATTCTTTTCGGAATTCTTATTAAATTAATAATTCGAATTTTATTAAATTTCATTTTTTAATAATTATTTAGAAATTAAATATTCAACTTTTGCCTCCTAATCTTCCATTTAAGAGAGAGATAATACTTAATAGTGATTTTATAGTTATACTTCCTGATGGAGATGGGTCAGATAATCATAGAGCTCATACAAATGCTCATTTAATTTTATTTACTGATCTATTGATAATCTGCCAACGATTAACACCGGAGGAAAAAAAATCAAATCCTACGAAGGAATTTTGGCTTCTATATCCACCATTAAGTGCGAGACATTTAACACTTAATGATATTCATGATGACAAAGAAGGTCAGTTGGATTTATGTTTTTCATAATTTCTGAAAGGAAGTTTAATTAACTTTTTATTATATTGAAATATCATTACAGAGTTGATGAATTTAGTGGTTTTGGAAAAAGAATCTATGGTGATATTTGCAGATAATAAAAATATAAAGGAGGCATGGATTAAAGAAGTTAATAAAGCGATTGATTTTGCGAAAAATGGCAAGTATTAAAGATTGATTTTTTTTTTAAAAAAAAAAAAAAACGGAAATTAAATTATTAATTTTAATTTTGATTGATTTATAGCAATTGCAAAATCTAAAATTAATACAAATGTATCGCCTATTTTACTCAATTCTCAACCTTCACCATCTACACAAGAATCGTACCAAATGAGTCCAAATAAAAGCAATTCGCAGGATTCAGGGCGAGCACTTTCACCACGGTCACCATCAGCTGGACAAGGGAAACTGGGACTTCCATCAAGTCCACTTTCAAATAGTTCACCTTTATTGCGTACGCGTTCTCCAGAGCAAATAAGAATTGCAAGTCCACCTTCATTACGTACGCGTTCTCCAGAAATAAGAAATGCAAGTCCATCAAATTTTTTACCAATAAGAGGAATTCAAGAGCAGATTCAAGAGCGATCTAATTCGGTTGAATCATTGGATTCAATTTCTAGTATTGCATCATTTATAGAAACAATTCAACAAACACCTCCATGTGAGGTAAGTTGCTGGGTTTTAGGTGAATGGGTTCCTATTACTAAAAAAGAAAAATGCATTGTAGAAATAAAGATGACAAGTTTAAATAAGCCATGTTGGGTAGTGTTATTAGAATCAAGCGAGCGTATGGTTCTTAATTCATGGATACTCTCTACAACTACATTATATAGAGATTCTATAAATTCACTAAGCGTATCATGTGAAACGGGAAAAAACACAGAATATTATAAAGTGACATTAACAAATGTAGCGGATGCAGATAGATTATTTTCAAATTTTCAAAAAATGAAAAATTATGGAAATAACGAGCTAGGAATTCCACAAGTTGGATTTATATCACGATCATCATCATTAAAAAATAATCAACAACCATCAAAGGAGATTGAACAAACACTGACGGATGTTATGGAATCAAGAGTTAAATTATTTTTACAAAATGATCATGGAGTTTGGACAAATTTAGGTTGGGGAAATATGAAATTATTATTGGAAGTTCCTTCTCATCGTAAAAGGATAATTATTCAATCAGAAAAACAAAAATCTAAGTTTGTTGATGCTTTTATTTGTGAAACGGGTGTTGCAAAAGGAAATAAATCTAGTGTTACTTTTAAAATTAATATAGGTGAATCTGCTAAGTTCATCTATATGATGCAAATGAAAAGTGAAGCAAATGCAGCAAAAGCTCTTGAAATTATGAGAACCGAACAAAGAACTTAAATTATTTATAATGTCTTTTATATATATTTGATATAGATCTATTGTACTTATTTTAGAATTGTTTTGTAAAATTATTTATCAAAAAAAAAACACTTATAATTTAATATACGTTATAGAATTTTTAAATACATTTTTATATTTTACATAAAGAAAAGCCTATTTGATTTGGGTGAAATTTTTTCATTTCAATTTCAATTATATTGTAATGTTTTTCTATCCTATTTATTCTAATACTTATTTTTTTATTTTTTTCAAAAGTTTGCATCTTTCCATAATTTAAGAAATACATTTATGCACTTGAGGAAGGATGTCATCTAATTTGTTCAGTATAATTAATTTACCTTTTATTTAAACTTGCTAATTTACCGAATTCAACAAATCATCTATAGTTAACCATTACGAAACACTTAAACTCTATGAAAAAGAATTCTTAAACAACGAAATGATATTACAAATAAAAACATTCCAGATGTATCTACTGAATAATTCATCATATACACAATGTACTGTACAGTCAACTCTCTCTATAGTCACACCCTTTGAGACTAACAAATTGTGTGACTATATGGGGGTGTGCTTATAATCAACTTATATAATTACGTGATTTTATGCAAATTAACATATTCAGAATATATGCTTATTCCGGTCAATTCATAGTATCTATACTGGAAAGTTGAAGAACAAACTTACTGGATTTTACTTATAAGTGCAAAAATACTCACTGAAAACTTAAGTAGTAATGAAGTTAATAAGAACAAACAATCAATAGATTGGAATCTTATGTATTATCCAAAGGATATTAAAAGTAAAATAAAATGTAATGAACTGAGGAAAAGATTTAATAATATGTGCAAAAGTTTTATTCATTACAGTTCACTTTGAACTATTCTTTACAAAAAAATTAAATTATTTTTTTTACATTTTAAAATATTTGTATATATCTTTGTAAAATAACAATTTAATGATGTTTTATCAATATATATAATAACATTATCATTTTTAGCATTATTTTACAAAAATATATACAAATATTTAAATAAACTAATTTTTTAAACTTGTTTTATATTAAAATAAAACAAATGTATAATAGAACAAAAATATTACAAGTAAAATAATTTTATTAATCTAATAATTAGTCTAAATGTTTTATTTTATATTATATATTTCAAAAAAGCAAAACAGTTCTTTAGTTTATTGTAAAGGTAATAATAAGTTTCAATAAAGAGTTAATTTAGTGTTAATTTATTTGAATAGTATTTTTGATATTTCTAGTTATTTTTTTATTATAAACAAAAATTATCTTTATTTATAATCTGCCAATTAATAACATTTAGTTTAAGATAAATTGTTTATACATTAAAAAATAATATACAGTATAATAATAAGTTCATATATTGAATTTCATCTTTTATAAATGAAAAATAATTTTTTTACTTATTATTTTACTTTGTTTTTGACAATATGAAGTTTATAACTGAATATCTACTATTAAAAGATTTTTTGCTTTGATAGTTTTATCTTTTTTTTATATAAAAATAATAGTATTAAGTATAGTAATTAGTAAATTTCTTATAAATAAAAAAAAATGCAAATTATAATATAATCAACTGAATTCAATTACCGTATTTTATTGAAATTAAGCACCTTTGAAAATAAGTATCCCTATAAACTTTTCAAATTTTTTATATATTTCTAATAAAAATAAAATCAAAAATAAGCAACATCCCAAAATTTCGTCTAAAACTCTTGCAAAATAGGGTGTTTAATTTTAATAAAATATGGTATATATAAAATTAAAATTAGGTTATTTTTGACTTTTAAAATAGTAAAAATAACATTTAATAAGAAAATAAAGTAAAAATTATTTATTTATAAAAAAATTCATATTGGATATTAGGTTTGCTTATCTTGTTATATCATAAATACAAATAATATAATATAAATAAGTAAAATATTTTTTTTATATTTAAAGTAATATATCAAGTACAAAAGTCAATTCCTATGATAAAGAAATCAATAGATACCTTTATAAAGAAATACATATGTGAGGATTAGATCCCAATAAAGAAGAAGTTTGATAAGGTTACATTATACATAAGCAAAAAATTACTGGAGTAAAATTTTTTTTAAAAAAAAAAAAAAAAAAAAATTTTTATTTTACTTTACTTTTATTTTTCTTTTATTTTTCTTCTTAGTTTAATTTTGGTTTATAGTATAGTATTTTGGTTTAATTATTTTGGTTTACTTTTACTATTTAATTTTATTCTTAATTTATTTGTAATATAATAGTTAATGTTTGATCAGACTGGTCAGGTGCTGGAAGTATCATTTACAGAATAGTTGTGATTATTATGTAGTCCAAATATATTCTAATAAAATGATACATGATTCAACATTTAAAAAAAAAAAATATATTTAAAGTAATATTAAAATAAAAGATATTTATAATATATTTAAAAAAAATAAGTAAAAAAAAAAGGTAAAAAAGTTTCTTAATACTTTATTAATTTGCTATATCAAAATAACCATATAATTGACAACCTTCACTGGCCAGATGCAACTAAATAAAGTAAAGTTTTTGACTTTTAAAAGATTTAAAAATATTTTTCAAACCTTAAACAAACATGTTTACTATTATTAAAAAAGTGTTATATTTAAGGTTGCTTGTCTAAACCTCTTCAAAATCTTACGATTAGTTTCGTCAAAATTTTACTATAGATTTATTATAGTTTCGGCAGAGTTTCAACAGTTTCGGCATTTATAATAAGTTTCGGCAATTTCGCTTTTCTCCAAAGTTTTGCCAGTTTTTTAATATAACTTTAATATAGTTTCGGCAGAATTTCACTTTTCGGTGAAACGCCATCTTGCCTAAACCCCTAAGTTTCGGCAAGCAACCTTAGTTATATTGCATGTATAAATATAGTGTTACTTTTGACCTGAAAATAATGATGTAAAATTACCGTAATTTTTAAAATTTTATTATTACATTATGGTAATTTTCTATAAGTTATGTTACATTATATTATTGTAATATAAAGTTTTTTTTTTAATTAAAATCTAAAGAAATAATAAATCCCATAAAAAATGTTGCAGTGGGTTGAATCTAAAACTGTAAAACATGATAATAAGCTACTTTTTATTTGTTATAAATTATAAACTTAGCCAAAATTAAGGTAATACTAGCTGAATCTGATAAATATATTAATATATATCAATGTAATATTACATTCAGTCCATATAATTTACAGTATAAAATATTATCACTAATTTTGCTAAAATGACCTGTAACTAAGGTTGCCTGCCTAAACCTCTCCAAAATTCTACGATTAGTTTCTCCAAGATTTTACTATAGTTTTATTATAGTTTTGGCAAGGTTTCGGCAGTTTCAGCATTTATAATAAGTTTCGTTAATAGGTTTCACTTTTCTCCAGAGTTTCGCCAACTTTTTAATAAGACTTTCATATAGTTTTGGCAAAGTTTCGCCATTTTGGCATTTCACCAACTTGCCAAAATCCCCTAGTTTCTCCAGCAACCTTACCTATAACTAATAAAATTAAAATTTAAATTAACAAATTGCTTTACTATAAAACAATTTTTATCATATAGATATAGCAGAATTCCAAGTAATATATATATAGGTAATAAGAAAGGTTAAAATTTTTATAATAACTTTACGCAAGATTTTTATTAAGATAAATAAGCAAACTCAATATGTGACTTGACTGACTTCACAATTACCCAAAAATAATATTTACTATGATGATCTTTCAGATCTTACTAAAAAATTAGAAATTAAAAACATAAAATTTTGAATGATCTCTTTTATGTAAAGTAAGCTTAATATTGATCAAAAAGCCAAATAGAGAAATTATTGAGATGTGACAGATTGCGCAAGTTATTTAATAATAGAATAACACTCATGCAACTTGCACAAGCAGGTTGTCACAAGTGTAATTTTTTTATAAAATAAAAATATTATATATTTTTATTTTAAATTCCCGTTCAACAATTAATTACTTCAAGCTAGTCAAATAAATGTATCTCTGAAATTATGTCAAATCAAGATTTCACTATGTCAGAAAAAAAAAGTGATGTTGTATTTAAATTGAGTTTAAGCAAAGAATTTAAAGATTTAAGGGAGAAGTTTAAAGAAAGTCTTTATGAAAAGTCTTTATATTAAAATTTTATTAAAATATACTTAAAATAAGTATTAATTTTAATTTGCAATATACTGTACTTATAATATACTTAAAATATATTTAAAATACTTTTGAAATATACTTTTAATATACTTGATTTTTGCCTAAATATTTAAATTATACTTAAAATATGCTTAAAATATTTTAAAATATGCTTAAATTAAAATTTAAGTACATTTCAAAAATATTTTAAATATGTAAAAAATACATTTATATTATACTTAAATTCTAGTTTAAAAATATTTTAAGTATAATTTAAGTACTTGGGTAAAAATCAAATACATTAAAAGTATATTTTAAGAGTATTTTAGACATATTTTAGGCATATTATAAGTATATCGCAAATTAAAATTGATACCTATTTTAAGTATATTTTAAGTTTAAAAACTTTTCATAGGAAGTGAATATATCGAATGATCCTAATACAGATTATTATTTTTATTAGTTTTAATATAGATTATTATTTTTATTATTTAGATTAAATTATAAAATGTAAAATTAATTATACGCAGTAGATTATGAAATGCAAATTGCAAATTTTTATTACAATTAAAAAGTTTTATTTTGGGATTTATAATTCTTTTTAATATTATGTAAAGTAAACAAAATTGTTTAAAAAAATATATTACAAAAGTTGGGATAAATAATTGTATACAGCATATAAGATATAACAAATAATTTAATTCTAAAAATAAAAAAATAGAAAAAAATTGTCTAGAACAAAATTATCCAAAAAGATATATTATGCGAGTTGGGATAAATAGTAGACAAAATTGTCCAAAAAAATATATTATGCGAGTTGAAATAAATAAGTGAATAAAATTGTCCAAAAAAATATATTATGAAATAAATAAACAAAAAAAAATGATAAGTTCAAAACCTTCAAAAAATCTAAAAAAAGGATGTTATTTTACAGAGGTGTAAAATGGATATATGATAAAAGGAATACAAAGGATAAGAGGATATTACGCTAGTATGACAAGTACAGTCAGCCTTCTCTATAGCAAATTTTGATATAATGAATTTCACGATATAACGAATCTTTAGTGTGGTACGTATTTAGTCATATGAAAAAAAATTCATTACACCAAATTTTACTAATAAAATGCATTATAACGTTGAACGAAGAAAATTTTATGATTTTACATATGTAAATGACCCTTTTTATAATGAACTTCTTTTAAAACGAATTTGTTTTTTAGTATAACGAAGATTTTTGCAAGATAAATTTTAATATAAAAGATAATTTGATGTTGCTTTCATGAAATTTTTCCCAAATAAGCAATTTTACCATTTTAATTCATTTATCAAAAGATGGATGATTTATGCTTTAAAATTTCTTTGCTTCTGTGATCTGATATTTTACAAATGTATTTGATTTTTCTATATTTTACTGCATTATACCAAATTTTTCTGCTATACCAGATAATTTATTATAGTATTAGCGAATTTTCTCATAACGAAAGGCTGATTGGCCTAGACACCTACTTCGTTATATCAAGAATTGACTGTAGCTATTGTAACTTTTATTAGAAAGATAGAAAACCTCATATTTTATGTAAAGTTCTAATCAGGTCAGTCTTAATCTGACAATGACTGAAATTCAGATTAGTCCAATTTGGGTTGATGCTTCAACTTGAACTGAAATATTTGGTTCAGTTCAGTCCAGTTTTGGATTATAAATTTAACTTGGATTGAATTAAACAGGTTAGAACTGAACTGGACCGAGTAAAACTTAATGAAAAAATGGTATAAAACGTTTTTTTAAAGAATATTTACTAATTAAAAAATGTTTGTGCAACATTTTTTAATTAATTAAAAAAAAAATGCTATGAAATATTTTTTTAAAATAATTATAATTAAAAAACATTTTCACAACATTTTTTCAAAGTAATTATAATTAAAAAATGTTTTTATAATGTCTTTTAATTAATTTAATGAAAAAAATGTTGCAAAAATGTTTTTTTAAAGTAATTATGATTAAAAACATTTTTGCAATATTTTTTATTATAGGATCAGATTGGATTGGACTAAAATAACTGGTTCAATTCGATCTCTTTCCAGATTTTTCTTTTAACATAAACTGGATCAAATTAAAATAAACCAATTTTTTTAGTTCAGTCCCAGATTACTTGCCAACTTAGACCAATCCAGACCATTTCACTGGTAAAAAAATGGTCTATCCTACACATATCCTACACATATCTTACATATATCGGGTACTCAAAATGTAGAAAATCATACACAAATAATACACATATCATACACATATCGGGTACTTATATATATAGTATACCTATCAGGTACCTGATATATGTATGATATATATATTAGTACCCGATATGTATATGATATGTGTATTATTTGTGTATGATTTTCTACATTTTAAGTACCCAATATGTGTAAGATATGTGTAGGATAAATCATTTTTTTACCAATGTTTAAAGCTTTAGTTTTACGTTTAGCAAATCATTACTGAAAATATCTGCAAAAAGTGTCATTACAATTCACAAAAATTGTAGGTAATAAAATAGCAGAGAATAACGAAGATAATAAAAGTGACTTAAAATCAACAACTAAAAAATAAAAGCTAAATGATAAATAAACTTCTATTCAATCTTTTTATAAAAATAAAAAGTTATTGTGATAAAATAAATTGTTTAATAATAAAAGCTTTCGTAATATATAATATTCTATTTAGTGCTTCTAACAAATCAAATTAGACCAGATTTTACTTAGATTCAATCTGATCTGAAATTAATCTGAATCTGAACTGAATCTAAATAAATATATTATAAATTCTAAAGCTATAATTACAAATTCCAGTCAAATTCAAAATTCTGAAATTTCAGCCAAAATGCTAAAATTAAATATGTAATTCAGCTAGAATTATGCACTTAATTTTGATAAGAATTATTGAATTTCCTAAAAAGGAAATTTAGGTTATATAAAATGCCAAATTTGTTCTTATAAAAATCGATTTTGTGAAATGGCTATTATTAAAAAAGAAAATGATTGACATATTTGTTTTGACTAATTCTAACTGGTATTATGAATTCAGTTGAAATTATTAGTAAAATCGAATCTGAGATCTGAATTTAATCTGTCAGATCCAATCTGATCAGATTTAGATTTTGAATAAGCCTAATCTGAATCTGATTTGATCTGATCTAATTTAATTTGAAGCTAATCTAATTTGTTCAAATCAAATTTTTTTTAATCTGAATCTGAACTGCAGATTAAATTCATCTGATCTAATCTGAATCTGATAGATCAGATTTTTTTCAGAGTACTAATTTCATTTAATATAATTGAAAATCCTTGGTTTATCGATTTGATCAAAACTTTATAATCAGGATATAATCCTTCCTCAAGGCAAGTTTTGAGTAATACTTTATTAGAATCTGGAATATCTTGCGTAAATATATGCATTATAAATGAATTAAGTGCTGACAATAATTTTACTATTAGTAAGATTTTTTAATTTAAATTAAAATGAAAAAATTTTTGACAGTTTTGATATGTATTTATGTTCATTAATAATGGATAGTTGGACCGATTCATATGGGAATAGCCTTTGAGCATTCATGTTAGTGACTGGATTAAGGAAAGAATATCTTTTAAGTCTTGAGAATCTTTTAAATATTTGCCATACAGGAAAGCATTTACTGTATTTAATGTTATTAAGAAAATTATCATTAAAGTGGGAGCCAAAAAGTTTGTTGCTATTATGTCAGATAATAGCTCGAATGTTGTAACAGCACATAAGATAATTACTAACCAGAAGATCTCACTATTATGGCTTTACAAGCTGATTTTAATGCAATTATGGAACGATGCAACTTTTCTTACATTCAACAGTTGTTTAAATTACAGTGGTACAATACAAAGATTGCTAGGCCTTATGTGCTGCAAGAATGTTTGAATGAAGATTTAAGAGATAACCCTTCACCTGAACTGGTTAAAAAAAAGAAGAAAAAGAAACAAAACAAAAAGACTGATTGATGATTAGTGTGATTTTTATTGAGAACTGAATTAGTTTTTAACCAGAGAATATTGCTTTATGCGTTATAGGATGCTAGGATGGCGGATTTGAATCTTGTGACTTGTTTTTTACCTGACGTTACCTCTAATAGGATTATGTAATTTGTGACTAACTGTGGGTTCTTATTTTAAATTTTGGTTATTTTATATTGTATCTCTCTGTTTTTTTTGACTTTTTGTAGTTTTCAATTATTTCGTTATCTGTATTTTGGGATGGTTTTTACTTTTTGTTAGCGGGTGTTTTATTTTTATGGTTTGTAGAAGTGGCCTTGTTAGCAAGCACTTAATATGGAGTTTACCTGGAACTTTCAGTCTTTGGCTGTTAGTCTTGGGTCTTTTCATTTTCTTAGGATTCCTCTGTTTCATGTTTTCTTATTAAATAAATAAAACTTGTGTCGGTCTCTCGTCACTTTGCCATAACAAATCGGCCCATATGTCAAATGTCAAATGCCAAATGCCAAATGATTGGGTGTCATTTTGACCAAATGACTCCTAATCCGAAAAATGGTCAAATGACCAGGTCATTTCCGAACACTGCTAATATTTATTACTCTTGCTTTAAAAGGGCGATTCCTACTGTATATTAAAAATCCTTGTAATCGCACCTTCTTTACCCAGCACTTTATAATCATCGTCATGTCTCGTTGGCGCAGTGACAATTTTTTTTGCGACCACAATGAAAATAAAATCGAAATAAAAACTTCGGATTGGATGAAATAATTTTGTGTTTGTCGATTGTGCAATTTTGTGTTGTACTGTCGTGATGCAACGTTTCACAAAAAAAGATGTGGATGGAATGTTAGTTGCGAAATGAACTTCATATTTCTTGCGATGGCAGAAAACAGCAAAGTTTTGCTAGAAGATGCCTTCCGTAATAAACTCATAAATTTTATTCCATACATTGAGCTCGAAGGTTTGACTAAAGCTGATGTTGGCAATTTTGGAAGTATTTCCATTGCATATTGGCCTAAATTAAGGAAGAATGTTGCTGTAAAAAGGCTATTTGTTTCTGAGCATGACACAGCTAGTCGAAATTTTGTTCATGAAGTAAGAATTAATGTATTAAATTTCGAACACCTAAACTTATAATATTTTATATGCTTCATTTTTCTATGAATTTTAGTTACAAATTCAAAAGCATGTGGAATATCATGACAATATAATTCGAATCTTGGGTGTTAGTCAAGGTAATTTACTGTTTCATCAGAAGTATTTTTTATTACTACTATAATTATGACTTCGCCGCAGTATCATATAGTTCTATTAGCATTATCCTCCACTATTTCACAGTATTATAGTTCTATTAGCATTATTCTCCAAGTTTTCATGTGAAGAAATTCCTTTCATTATAATAGCTCACAAATTCACATTCTCACATTAGATCCATCCAATAAAGACCACCTACTTGTCCTTCAATATGCCAAAGATGGAAATTTAAAAGATTATCTTGCACGAAATCACTTAACGCTCTCATGGAATGACAAGTATAAAATTGCTTGTGGAATTGCTGACGGTCTTCATTGTCTTCACGATGAAAACATTGTTCACCGCGATCTTGTAATGACACATAAGTTTCATACTATAATTTCTTATGATTTTATATCAATAACAAACATAAGTAAAGTAACGTTATATTCTTCTCCAATTTCAATTTGTTGCTCTGTTTTGCAGCATTCGAAAAACATTTTAATAGATCATGGCGAGCCAAAAATTGCTGATTTTGGTATTTCCAAAAGCCTTAACACTGGAACAGATTTAGTCAACGGTGTTTTTGGAATGATACCATACATCGAACCTAAACGTCTTGAAAATCCAAACTATAGACATGAGAAAGCATCTGACATATATAGTCTTGGGGTGGTGTTATGGGAAATATCAAGTGGCCAACGTCCTTTCAGAAACTCTTCATATGACGCTGCATTAGCAATATCTATAATTAACGGGTTACGAGAAACACCGATTGCTGGGACACCACAGGAATATATTTCACTTTATCAGAAATGCTGGTACAGTAATCCACAGATCCGGCCATCTATTGTTACTGTTTTTCAATCTCTTCAATCTCTTGGAGGAGTAATTAAAAAATCCATGCAGGAAATAGAAGGTTAGTTAACTACCACATTGCCCATGCAAAAATGAAATCACAACAAATCATCGTCTTTTGATGTATAGTTACTTTACCTACTATTGACACTGTATCTCCCAATCCTATCCAACCAACAACTCAACAAAATATCAATACATACATAGGTATACGTTGCTCATAAGATTATATTTATCAATTATCAATTGAATATTTACAATTTTATATGAATTACCAGAATTAAATCATTCCGTACAGTATGATCTTGTAATTCCTGACAGAATCGACGTTTCAGCTGAATATGTTGACGATAAAGTTCTCATAAATACTCAATCTTCCCAAATGTCGAAAATGATGCAGCCAACATCCCAAATGTATACAAAGCCTCCAATTGAAGTGATACACACTTCTACTTTGAAAACAGATACTTCAACAACATCTGAATTTCCATGTAATCAAGTTATCAATAACCAAAATTTACAAAGCCCCAGTTTCGTAAAAATTTCTATCTCATCAAGACCATCACATAACAACATACTAAAACTTGTAGTTGTTGGTAATGGCGCGGTTGGCAAAACGGCTCTTATTGACACGTTTAGAAATGATTGTTTTCGTTTTCCAACAAATTATGTCCTCGCCTTCCAGACATTTTATGTAGATGTTGAAATTGACGGACAATTTGTAGATCTAACATTACGGGACACACCTGGCCAAGTTAATTATGCTCGTCTTAGAGAATTATCATACACAGATGCTCACGTATGTCTGATTTTGTTTGCTATTGATTATCCCGATAGTTTGGATAGTGTGGAAGGATGGATGGATGAATTGAATGGAAATTTTCAACAAAGTGAACTTCCACCAGTTCTTTTGATTGGTACCAAAGCAGACCTGAGACATGATATCAGTGCTATTGAAGAATTGAAAAAAATTCATCAAACTCTGGTAACTTATGAAGAGGGGCTTAGAGTTGCAAATCAGATAAATGCGGTTAAATATTTGGAGTGCTCATCAAAGGCTTATGAGGGTATTAATGAAGTGTTTGAGCAAGCTACCCGTGCTGCACTTGCATTTTCGCGTATTCAGAAAAAACGTAGGAGACGCGGGAAATGTATTATTTTATAATAACATCTACAGTATATACATTGACCTGCTGGCAAAAAAACAAAATATGCTTTGCTAACAAATAAACATATATTTATATAACGTTACCAGGTTTTGATATTAAGCTGTCGGGTAAGTGAAAAAAGTCCATATACTTTGCTAACAACTTAAAATTTTTTAAATGTATCGTAAAATTAATATTACAGTACATTGTATACAAACCATGTTAAGATACTCGTTATTGGTCTTGTAGGGACATCGTACAATAGTTATATAATATCAATTGTAATATTAACTTATTAACTGTAAAATATATTGTAAATTTAATTGTAAAAATACATCTTTAACTTTAATTATAAAATACATTTCCTCTATCCTCATTTAAATACTCCTCTCTTCACCATTCTTTGTCTTTTTTGATGTAGATGCTATTAAAGAATGAAGCATTAGTAACTGTTAGTTAATAAGCATAGCGAACATGCTTTGACGATCATTTGCCGATCACAAGTTTCATTTTATTAAAAAATGATTAAATTATGAAAAAGTGCAAGGCAAAGTAAATGCCTAAATAGGAAAAAAATAAAATATGCCACCTTTTATTGTTGTATAACTTTAAATTAAATAATTTATATAATTTTTAATTTTTATATGCAAAATTATTAATATGTGATAATTTGAAGTTTCGGGATAAAAATTGAAGGCCAAAGCCGAATACGCAAAGCCGAAACTTGAAATTTTGCATGAACATTCCTTTTATTATATATAATCTGTAAAAAAAATAATGCAAGGTTTCAACCCATAATGCAGGTTTTTTGCTTATAGAGAAATTAGCCAATTATTTGTTATTAATATATTTCTAATAAAAAAGATTATTTACATCATTAAAGATAATGAAAAACTTTTAGTTGAAGATGAAGATGATAATAGTTTAAGTGAAGATAATAATGATGAGAATATTGAAAATAATTTAGAAATAATAGTAAGTAATATAGATAATCTGTTTGAAATATTATACTAAACATGGGTTAAATTATTAATATAATTATTAGTATTTGTATTAATTTTTATGTTTTATATAAATTTTTAATAAAATTAAAATTCTGTGAAGTTATTTGTAAATTTTAAACATTTATTATTGTGTAAAATTGATCTGTCACGACATATGTATTATGTGATAAGATCAAATAAATGATCAGCAAATGATCGGCAAATTTGTGATAAAATAGAGATGTTCGCTATGCTTAGTTAATATAACTAAAGTTAAAGAAAATACTTACCAAAATCTGAAAACCAACACGTTCAAAAAAGAAATAATCCAATGATGAAGGTCTTTCTCAAAGATTGAAACTAAATTCCATGCATGATGCATCTATACCTGACTAAAAAAAGCAAAATGAAATGTTAGTAAGCAATTCATTAAAAAAGTAGTTCAAAGAAAATCTACTGAATTTCTATGTAAAGAGAAAAACAATTAAGGAATAATTTAAAAAATAAGAGTAGTAATCCCATTAAATTAATGCAAATTTTATGCATCCAATTCACTAGGGCTACCAGGTAAATTTCATTTATCTGGTATCACGTGATTTTTTATAATTAAAAATGGTTATAATAAATCGTGTACATATCAGGCAAAAATTCGTGTATCAGGCAATATTCAAATCACGAGATATCGGATAAATTACTTATTTGGTACTTCAAGCCAAATAACTAATGCTACCTATAGGTAGCTTGTTATATAATTTGATCAGTTAATCTTGGGCTTCTGCAAAGCCCGAATCAACCAATCAAACTTGATTTACCCAATATAACAGTTATTCAGCACTTCGTGCTGAATAACTATTAAATACCTGATAGCCCTATTATATATTTTAACCAGTTTTTGGCACAGATTAGAACTCCTCCAGCTACACCATCAAAAAAACTCAGGTTTGGCCCACATTATGGTGTTATGCACTAACATGTGAAAATAAACAGTGACGAATAATGGCATGACGAATAATTTTTTACTTACTTGAAAAAAACTAAATTCCTCAGATATATATAAACAGTAAAACTCGACCAGAGGTGTGATAATGTAACGAATATTTCATGGTTATGTACCCAAGCTTTTTTAATGGTGAAGCTAGAGAAAATCGCAGATTAGATATAAGTTATGATTAAGCAGATCTTATTACCCATCACTTTTCTGCTCTACGTGATCATAGTAAAAATATTTATCACATAGTATTATTCTAAAACAGATTTTTTTCAAGGTGTGAAAAATTATTTTTCACATACTTATTTATTATATGATTAATTTTTTAATTTTGTAATGCCAGCCAAAAAGTCACATAAGGGCAGAAAAGTAACGGTAATACTGGAATAAATGTCAAGCAGTATTGGGTAAGTTTAATGTGAATATTACAAAGAATTTTAGCAATCTGATATTTCTTTTAATCCTTATCAAACTGTTTATGATATTAAATGTATATTTGCTACTGATTTTTTCTTATTATTTATACTATTATTTATTTATTTATTTAAATGTATATTTTTTATTTAATTATTATATATAAATTACATTCATTAATTTATCCTATTCTATAGTGATTCACAAAATAATAAATTACATGTTTATCAATCAAAACAAATCTGTTTAATTTAATATTTTTAAAATAAAAGATATAGATCTTTAACATATAAATAAATACCTACCCTTTTCTATGTAATAAAAAAATTCTATTATATGGTCTAACCTCGATATACTAATAGTTTATATACTGATAATTGATATATACTGATAAATTTCCTTTGTTTTTATTATACCAATATTACATATTGTTTCATGATGTAATATATACTGATGTAATTTCTTTGTTCCTTAATAAATAATATATAGTACTATATACTGATATTTCAAGTTACACCAGCATATATACTAGCTTTATTTGTTTTAACATGTCATGTTTTAACTAATAATAATGTTTTAACAACAAAGAAAAGGAAAATCTGTTCAAGATACCTTCCAATCAAATAAAAGAGTTGTATACACAAAAGCATTAACTCTGTTTAAATTCTCAGAAAATATTACACTCTACTCAAAAGGAACTTGCTATTTTATAGTTAAGTAAAATACAATTTCAGATATTTTTTTTAAAAAAAAAGAAAAGTAGTTACTTGTAAATCCAGACTTTGAAGACGCAAATAAACAGAAGGAGAAGTCTGTTTATTTTTTTCAAATAAAAGAAACCCTTTCATTATGGGTAATAAATGCATTTACTGTAGAACTTAATATCAACACTGATATTTTACATGAAAATAGTATTGCGATTAAGGTTGCTTGTCTAAACCTCCTCAAAATCCTACGATTAGTTTCGTCAAAATTTTACTATAGATTTATTATAGTTTCAGCAGAGTTTCGGCAGTTTTGGCATTTATAATAAGTTTCAGCAGTTTCGCCTTTCTCTAAAGTTTCGCCAGTTTTTTAATATAACTTTAATATAGTTTCAGCAGAATTTCGCTTTTCGGCAAAACGCCATCTTGCCTAAACCCCTAGGTTTCAGCAAGCAACCTTAATTGCGATCTGTTGATCTGTCAATCTGTCAATTTGCAGATTTATCCAATTCAAAATTCATTTGAGTTATCTGGTTTCAATCAGATTACGAATAGATCTGGATAGGAAAAACAAATCATTCAGATAATTCGTATAAACTATCAATCATAATTCCAGCTAGAATTAAGTAATCAATGGTAAAAATTTTTTTTTTAGTGATTATTATTACATAATATTCCATGTTTAATAATGCTTAAAAATAGAAATCAAAATTTTTGTGGAAAGGGTATTACCAAAAAAAGAAAGCAATAGTTATATAAAGACTAAATATGGTAATTTTAATATTCTGGCCAAAATTATGAAAAAAATATGTTAGAAAAATATTTATCCGTATATCCAGATGCATTCAGCAAATATTTGAATAGGTAACAAATGAATTCATAGATTTATTACGAATATTTAAATCATTTTGAATTAAATTGATAAATCACAGATTCATCTGAATCACAACACTACATGAAAAGGCTAAATATTTTGCACAGTAATTTGAAATCAATAAATTTTTATTTTCTAATAGATGAATTAATATAAAAGACAGCATAATTTAAAAGAATATATTAAGTCAGTAGAATAAAGCTAAAAGTGCGCTATTAGAAACCTTAGATGAAAAAAGAGATATTTTATACGAAATTATTAAATATTATGACTTAAATAATGTTTTTAACTGTAATGAAACAGGTAAAATTATTTTTCCCAATAAAGCTCCTATTTTTTATATTTTAAGATTTGTTTATTTTAAGATTGTATTGGAATCTAACCATCAAAAACATTAGCATAAGGGTTTATATATATATATATCTCTTTTAGGAAAAAAAAAATCTAAAAAATGAATTACTCTACTTCTTACATGCAATGCTACTGGTACTGAAAAATTAAAATCATTATTTATCCATAAATACCAAAATCTGCAAGTATTAAATAAGAAAAAAAAAGAATTATCAGTAAACTATTACTGGAATTCAACAGGACCTTGAATAATACTGATATAACTCACAAACGGGTTTGCGTAGAGTTTATATAAAATTACTTTTTAAACCCATAAATTGAGTTTGCGTAGATCGGTCAATTTTGGGATAACTCACATATCATGTTTGCGTAAAGTTTATAAATTGCATTATATGTGAGAGTATAGTAAACATGTAGTGTATGGTTGGCTATGTATGTAGGGTATGGTTAAACATCACATATAAAAGTATTACGTGACCATATATTGTACAGAATAGAACAGTCTAGGCCTTTCCTTATTTGGTAATAAACAATGTAGATCTGTATAGAACGCGTGTGAAATTTTGCATACCCTACATACATAGATATTCATACACTACATGTTATCGTAACACCCATTATATGTTAATCAATTGTATAATATTGATATTAATAAATAAAAATTAAGTTGCACAACACCATTAAGGATGGATCCATAATATATTTCTGAAATTTGCAATAAGTAATTAATTATATAAAGTAATAAAAAGTAATGCATTTCACATTATTTTAATATTTTTTAATAGAAAAAAATGTGAAATGCACTACTTTAACAAAAAATGGTGAATTTCGCATCATTTCATTAATATTTTAATAGAAAAAAGTGCAAAACACACAATTTTAATAAATAAATGGTGAGTTTTGCACCATTTTATTAATACTTTAATAGACAAAAGTGTAAAACGCACTATTTTTACAAATAAATGGTGAGTTTTGCACTATTTTATTAATACTTTAATAGAAAAAAGTGTGAAACACACCATTTTATTAATATTTTAATAGAAAAAAGTG